GCCCACCTTAGCACCCTCTCAGGCTCCAGGAGGTGCATCTTAATAAAATACACTAATATCTTTTAATTAGGAGTAACCCTAGTGCCAACACATAGCAAGTCTCTGCACTAGTTATTAGTGTAGATAGTGGTTGTAGGCATATTATTAGTGATTAACTTATGTATTAGTAGAGCTAGGTAAGTTTAATCATGCTGCTGCATTCAGGTATGAAATCAGGGTTGGCCTATATAGATGGGTGGGTCCAGGGTGTGGAGTGGGTTATTACTTATTAAATAGTTTTAACTAGGTGCTTAGTGACATGTTTAATTTAGTGAGGTGAGTTTAGGCTGTCTGTTAGTAGCTATAAAGACACAGAGCTTCTTTGTATCTGTGGCCTTCTAGTTATGTTGTTTTAGGGCTGGTGGCGGAGGCATTATGATGTTAAGGAGTAGATAGATTAGGAGATGGTCTAAATCTATATGAATATTAAGTGCTATCTTGCAGGCTACTAGTCTTGTAGTTAGGTCCATAGACCTAAATGTTAGATCTATAGTAGACTAATGATCTTACTCATTATAGGTGACCATGCCTGGTTCCATCTATAAGTCTAGGAGCCAGGTGTTAGTTAGTTTAAGCAGCTTATCATACCTGAGGTTAGTATTTTAGATGGAGTTGCCACCCCAGGCTGGGTGGTCAAGGTTGAAATCCCTAAGGAGCAGGTAGCTACTTGCCTAGGGGTCTACTGCCTGTTCTAGTAGATTAAGGGTATCTGTCTGTGTGTTGGGGTTAAGGCATGGATTATATATATTAAAGAGATGGGTTGAGGCTTATTAATAAAGAACTCTTAAGAGCAAAAGCTAATGTGTAGCCTATAATAGTAATAAAAGTTAGATATCTTATACTCCCTTAGAACCTAATAAGTAAAATCATGGATTAGTAAAATCATCTAGTAGTTTCCCTCCTATACTATTACTAGGTAGAATAGCATGAACCCTATCTGGTTATGGATGGAGCAGCTAGTTAAAGTAAGGACCTAATAAATTTAGTATGGCTTAGCAGAGAAGATAGGAAAGAGAGGTTAGCCTAATTTATTTCCCTCCTAAAAGTGTAGTAATGAACCCTTTCTTATTTTCTTTCTAGCACAGAGCTGTTATAGGCTAGGAAAGTCTCTTAAGGAAATACTATAGTCATGCTATAAAAAGCAGCACCTAGGGACTTCTCCCTACCTAAATCCTACTATCCCATCATGCTTCTTGATACCCTAGGCAAAATCCTGGAGTTAATTATCACACTGCGCATCTCCTATGCACTAGAAGAGCATGGCCTGCTTCCTAGAGGACACCTGGGTGGCCATAAGGATGTCTTAGTTAACCATACCATCTAGTTAATTCTAGATTATGTCTACCAAGCATAGGGCTTAGATAAGAAGGCTAGTATGCTCCTCCTAGATATTTCTAGTGTGTTTAATAATATCTTACATACATAGCTACTCCATAACCTTAGAACTATGCAGCTAGGCTGCTTTGCTAACTGACTACATGTGATAATGCTACAATACTACCAGGTGTTATAATAAGCTATAATCACACATGATGTAGATAGCATATCTCCCCTATAGAGACTAGAGGAGGAAGAACCATCTTTCTACCATTATCTAATTTCATTACCACCATTATGGCCTAAGGCTCTACCATCATAATAATTTAGTAGCATATCCTTTTTTTCCCCTTCTAGGGTCCCCTGGGTTTATTTAATTATTTTCTCTTCCCTAATTTACTAGTTATTTAAGTATTATAGCTGCTCATCTTCCTGACCTCACTTAGCTTAGATGTCTGTGTGGGAATCCCATGGAATACCTTATTACTTTATCACCTTTTATCACTTCTTATTAGATTTCCTCCCTTTTTTTATTATACTACCCTTACATATTTCATCCTTATTCATCCTTAATTATCTTACCACCTTACATGTCATACCCTATGCCTAAATATTCTGTTATGCTAGCTCACTAGATCATCACATTCTACTTTTTAGATCATAGGTGCACATGTAACTTAGATAATATAATACTTACTACTGCATACCATATTTGCACACTATACTAGCAGAATAATAAGATATCTCTAGCTAAAACCACTCACTACTAATAACATACTCATACTAAATCAACTAGAAGAACTATAAGATCACATTCTGCCTCCTCTGCCTCATCACATCTTAATAAATATTACCCCTCAGATTAGGTACACTCCTGCTAATCCATTACTGCTACTATTAGGACATTCCTGATAATCACCTAACCTCACACTAAAATAGACTAGCAATACCACCATTGGGTTGAAGGATACACCAGGAAATATAGTAGAAATATGCCACAACTATTAGGGTGAACTGCAGCTATATTAAGGTCAAGGTCATCATCAGCTACTATAGAACCTAATATAGTATTAAGAACTTCCCCCTCTATCCCTTGCCCTATCATCTCCCCTATTACCCTATTAGAAGCATCTAGTAATAACAACACTAACCATACTAAACTTATTAAGGAAACTCCCTATGCTTCCCACATCTAAGCACTACTAAACTAGCATAATAACATCCTAGCAAACTTCTCTATGCTATAATCATCATCCTTTATTTACTACTCTAGCTCTAATAGCCTAAGTCTCTTAAGCACTAAAGCACTACCTATAATAGATAACCTCCCTATATTACCTTCTGAATTATCATCCTTCATTAACTACTTCCCCCCTAATTTAATTCTAATTCTAATAACCCAGACTATTCAAACACTAGTTTACACTAGATAATATTAACTAATAGCTAAAGACTCTCCTACAGCTGTAAGCAGCACTTAACACAGCCTAAAATATATCTACTAAGTATTACCCTCACTAGCTTATGTATGGATGTGAACTATATAAACCCCTTAGCTTAGGACTATAAGGCTCTGAGCCAGTCCAGTTATTTAATATATAAGATAATGCTATGAACACCCTACCAGACATATTCCAGGCTAACACAGGGGATGGCAACCCCTAGCCTGCATAGCTGCCAGAGATTGCTTGCAGAGCTTATCTTTAACTAAGATGGGGAAGATGGTAGGGGCCCTATATAGGTGCTTAGCTTAGGGATATGTTAGAAGATGACCATGGGTGTTATGCTGGATACAGTATATATAATAATAGTATAGAGTAGATAGCCCAGCTATACTTAGGAACCTGCTGCCACTTAGCTGATAGGCTGACAGATACATAAATAAATAATTAAATTAAGGTGATATTATTCAGTAGGAAGCCATTAGTATATCTATTACCTTAAATGCACAGAACTCCCCTTTATTTTTGTAATCCTAACCACAACTTATGAAATTATGCATTTAGCTAAATCCACTATGGCCAGGCTTGGTGAGTGGCTTCTAAAAAGATATATAATATAATTCCTCATGACTTTAGTACTGAATCTCACCTTAAACCATGATTCTTATATAAACCACTAGGAATGGGGTAGAAACCATCTGTTACCTCTACCTCTATAGAGATATAAGTGAGCATGCACACATTCACACTAAGTATAGTTATAAATATTATAAGCTCTACCTCTTTAGGGGCAACTGTATCCTCTAATACATTAAGTATATCTAATTAATTAAGCATAGGGGCAAAAGTAGGTTAGGATTAGAGTATCCTTAGGAATTCTTCTACTTAGAGTGTTAGTTATATATACTATATTACTGCAGAGGAGATTAAAGAAAGTAAGTAGAGATAATATACTACCTATTAGACCTATAATACTACTTAGGGGCAGAGGGACAAAAGCATGGCCTAAGGCTTCCCCTATAGGTATAGATAGAAGGATATATATGCATGAGTTAGAATCATAAGTCTATCGTATCTAAGAGAAGCACTCATTGCTTAAGGTTTTATTATTATAAGGTTCTGATGCTATTTACATATGGGTTTATATATGGGAGGATATTGCAGACCAGTTATTAAATAGATGACTCTTAACTAAACTTAATATAGAGAGTTTAGGATATACCTCAACTTAATTCTAGGATACTCTTAGAATTATAGTTATATCTATATCCTTTCTATTTCTAGGGCCTAAGTCTCTATTCCCTATATCTCTTCTGTCTACCTCTCTAATAACCTAATGATAAGCCGCTAGCAGTCACAATATATCAAAGAAAAAAGTGCTCTGAGTAGGTTATCTAGTATAGAGTCTAAGCTATAAATCATTAATTACTACCTAAAATAATCATCATGGCTGTGCTCCGCCAAGAAATAAGATAAAGCTAATAAAACTATGAGAAAAAGATATGTATAGGTGAAAGAGAATTTAATTAGTTAAATCTAGATAATTATAGGTAATTACAGGAGACTACTTACCTAACTATTCTGCACTCACCTAGGCTCACCCAGGGTCACACAACTAAAAGCAGCATCGCGCGACAGCAGCACCCACCAACCTTTTAACTGCGTTGAAGCCACACGCCGGCTGGTTAGTAGTTGGGTGGGTGACCACCAGCGAATCCCGGCTGTTGTATGTTTTTTTCTTTCTTTTTTTGTTTTCTTAAAAGATTTGCAGCATTGATGTGATCCCATAGTAGCCAGCTCATCCTTTCTTACACAGTACGCTCTTTGTGTAGAACAATGGGTAACTCTCTGTATGGAGATAGTCTGAAATCAAGTAGGCCCAGTCCTGCGCCTGAGGCCGACGTAATAGCCACTATTGCCTCCCAGATCGGAGCTGGACAGTTGCTTTGTCTTCTCAATTAGCCTTTCACAATAAACACTACCTTGATTAGAACCAAGACAAATGAGTATGATTGGTGTAGCCCAATTCTGGGGGGTCCAGACATGAAAGTCTACGTCGAACCTTTCCGCAAACGGAACAAAGGGTTTCATGATTTCATGATCTCAACATGACAGAATCTCGAACTAATCAAAGGTTTAAAGCCAATAGCCCGCACAGCACAGTCCTGATATGACATACTTCGGAAGAATGCATGTCTCAAGATGTCCCAGCAGGCAGCGGCTTATATCGAGTCTCACACACGCTTGTCCACCTGGTGCGATGAACTGGAGTTCTTAGGGTTTCTTCTCGCAGAGCTCGCCAACCCGGGAGCTCTTGAAGCAGCGGGGTTTCAATGGCACCAGGCTGCAGATCTTCCTGTGACGGTAGATATTCTCGAAGAATCCTGTGTCCAGCCAGCTGGGATGCTCTATAGGGCCTTGGGTCAGAAGCCTGCTAAACGGTTCCGGAAATGGCTTGTGAAATCAAAGGAAATCCGAAATCACATGGCTCACCACCACGCACCGACTACCGCAAAGTTGGCCTCTCTGAAAGAGGTCAGAGACCAGCTCAGTGAACAGTTTGAATGTGTGATCAAAACGGTGGCTGCGTTCTGCGGCGTCCGTGAGGTATGGAGGCCAACAAGTCTAGCTTCAGGAATGCTTACCATCTCAGATCAGGTGGTGTCCGTATCCATCTGCCTTGAAGGTGTCGAGAGGAGCAGACACCTACAGAATGGAGATCATTTCTCTCGCTGGTGGCACCGACCGCCTACTCTCACAGCGTAAACGAATATTAGAGGCTCCGAACCAGCAGCCAGAGAGGGTGCGACCTCAAGGGAGCGGTAAAGCTAAGGATAAAAGCCAACAGAAACCATTCCAGGCGTTTCTAAAAGCTCAGCGGCGCAAAGCGGAGAACGAAAGGCAAGTTAGGGCGAGGAAAGAACAGATCAGTGCTCGAAAACTGCGCGCGGTAGATCAAAACTTCTACCAGATGCGGCAGCTGAGATTGATGCAGCTTGATCGACTTCGCAGTCGGATGGAGCACGAAGAGAGAGAGTGGAGGGTTCATCGCTCAATACTCCTCCAAGACACAGTCCGCTCATCCCCGGCGGATGTGGACGCTGTGTTTGCCATTCTGGCGCTGAGTTCCCCTTTTTGGCTCTTAGGGATGTTGATACACGCAATGTATGAGAAATACAAGATCCTTTACGGGCATGACTGAGATTCCGGCCCGGTTACTTCAAGTCTATAGTTTCTAGTGATTGTTCTTAATACCAAGTGATGATTTCCTCATGGCAGCCACTGGCATTCTCGAGAGAGTGATGTTACCGACAGAAGTACTGCTAGCGCCATCGACACATGTATGCTCAGTTCAGTTTCTCCGCATAGTAAAGTACGATTTGACAGCTGTGGCCTCACGGCAGGTTGAGATGAGGACAGTCTTTCGGATCCTGATAAAACACGCCCCCCAGTTTCTCAATACTCTGGCACCGTTCCTCCATATTGTATGCATTTCGAATCCTGGCCGTACCTATTTCCACAGCTTCCCGAAGAGTGGTCCGAAGAACCCAGACACCCCCAGTTGCAGGCCAGCCCACGCCAGTGAAATTCTCGTCGTCCCAGCTCTGACCGGTGAACGCCTCCATATAGGCATGGGCTAAACTTTCCCACCACTCAGCTCCAAGGCGACGCACTAGTCGTGGTAGTCGACTGCTAGCTGCTTCGGCTAAAGGGAGCAATACGAAACATCGACGGCTTACAGCGGTCACAATGTGCCTCTTCCTTCGCCTGCCAGTCCGGGTCCGACTTCGGGGGCCGCTGAGTCGGGGTGAACCGGTCGAGGCCCAGAAAGTCCAGTTCCACCGCGGAGACATCCTGGAGCAGGTATCGGCCGCCAATGGACGGGAATCCGACGACATCAATGCCGGGACCAGCCCCAAAGTCAAGCCAGTAACTCTCATCATTGAGGTCGTTCCCGGGAGGACAGACAATGTCAATATCCACTGATGAGACGATATCTGAAGGTACTCTCTGCGGATTGTAGAAGAACAGACAAGATGCGGATATTAAGGCGAAAAGAAGCCCCAGGATAGTAAGCAGCATGATGATGGGAGGTGATAACGGGGATAGTTGAGACGGAGGGAAAGGGGGGAGGGAACATGTTATATCCAATTATCCATGGATCCAAACCCCTGCTTGCGGTGGGGTGCACTAGACTAGTCAGTCAAGTAGGTGATCTGACGATGAGTTGGAGGCTCCAGTCTCTCAACAGTCGAATCATCGCGGGAACCATGATCAAGTCGTGAGTTCGCAGATCAGCCTTTTGATTGTCTTCAGGATGATCAAGTATCGCGTGTATATATTGGGTTTATCAATATATCATCAAAAAAAAGAAAAAAAACCAAAGGAACTGCACCCTGCAGACCACCCGTCCGTCGAGCAGCAAGAGCTGAGATGTTGTTGTAGGGGTTCTACCGCTGCACTAAAAAGGTGTCCAGACCTTAGTCAGTCAGTAACAGTAGTTCTTATGACAGATGTCATTTGTTTCTTTCTCGCCGATGGTAGAGAGGGCCTCTTCTGCCAGCTGTCAGCAAGGCTGCCGAGCGCCACAGGTCAGTTGAGCAGCATGGACGCCAGGAGTGGCCCTTATGTGAATGATAATAATTTCGGAAAGCGCCCCAGGGCACGACAATAATTGTAGGAAACAATCCGGAAGTAAGGTTGAGGATATTGGCCAATATATGCTGAATAGATCTGAGTGTCAGTATGTCCCGACTCGGACGATAACAGCCTGAAGTACACCTTCATAACTGGAAGAGGCGGCAGACTCTAGGCATGATATCCCTCCAGCTGTCGGCGGCAAGGAGTTCTCGTTTTGTAATGTTGCTGCTGGGTATCTTTGTCTCGTCCAATGGCATATTCATCCCCGCCGACCGACTATTTGGCCATGCATAGCTTTCCCGGAGCCCATGAGTTCCATATCTGCGTCCCTAACAACCGGAACGTGGGCTTATAAGCTGGGCATACTCTGAACTAAAACCGGAGCGGAAGAGATCTCTTTCGGGCTGTCTGGGGACCGGGCCGGCCCGCTCGCTTAGTGGAGCGCCAGGATTCCGATTTATCTTGGTGAATGAGGAAGTACTCCCTAGATGCAGTTGATTAAGGTTAGCAGGAAGCCTTCCGGATGATCCCACATTGGTCAGAGTGTATGGTTTAGTGACTGCATAGTTGCGTCGGGCAATGATGCCCAGGTTAACACTAACAACACAGAGCATAGGCGAGTTTCGCCGGGCATTGCTGTAACGAGAGAGCAAGAACGAAGGTACAGCATCTTGTACGAAGCCAGTGAGATATCAATATGCAGAAGCGAAATATGTTGGGTGCTGATTTGGGTGACTGACTGGCTATATACAAAGGTTTACGACCAAACTGTATCTACACAGGCACCGGCATCGCCTACCATTCAACTAGAGAATTTGCCGCTATATTGGCCTGGAAAGAGGTGGAGAGGACGGATACGCCTGCCACCGCATTCACTGGGCTTAAGCAAAGCCAGAGCTGATAACCCAGCTTACATCGTCGTTGAATGAGCCGGCAGCATCAAACGTGTGGACGCCGCCGTTGCTCGCCGCATAGAGCACGTTACTATAGTGACGGAAATAGCGGGTGGGGAAGCTCCAGGAGCGAATCGAGCTGCCCTGGCCATTAAGACCGGCTTGGGGACAGAACGTGGCGTCTTCTTTGAACTGCTTCGTCCCGTCGTTGCCGTTCAGCACGAGCGCAAAGTTGCTGTGGCGAATGAAGCTCCCGGGGGTGTCTTTGGACTCGAACGAGAAGCAGCCGCTGTTGGCCAGACCGGTGCGAACCGTCCACGTGGCCTGCTGTTTGAGGGTGGTGGCACTGGCGGATGAGACGACCTGAGTGTTGATGGTGGAGCCGGTGTGCGCGAGATAGCGGGTTGTACAGCAGGACGTGGTGGCCCGCAGCGAGATCGCGGAGCCGACGGTGAGCGCCGGGCCACTGGTCAGCGACGTCACAGCGTAATTGGCGGCGACGATGTCCGCCTGCACGGCATTTTCAGTAGCATCGGACGGATACCCGGAGGTCATCACGCCCTCGTAGAACGTGCCCTGGGCGCCGTTGCTGTTATCACCACCAATTCCAAGGATGATAGCGCCCTCCTTACTCATGGGATTGTAGCCCGATGCATTGGGGCGCGCGCCGCTGTAGTAGGTCGCCAGCGAGCCGGACGCCGCATTGGCGCCGCGGATCGCCCATCGGTTGGGCCCCCCCTTAATGGCTGCGGTGAGAAACCGATAGGAGACGGATGGGTCGCCCGCGTTGTTGGCCGGGCTGGAGCCGGAAAAGAGGCCATTCTCGAGATCGGCCATGATCCACGGGCCACTGCCCGAGCCCGAGCCCCAGACGGTGTTGGTGCCGAAGTAGATGGCCTCCATGTGGCCGTTGCCGGTATCGAGACTGCTGGTCTCGGCGTTGCCGTAGTCGAAACAGCAGCCACCGTTGTAGTGGGTCCCGTCCAAGACGGCGTACATACCCTCCGCTGCGTCCCCGATCGCTGTCCCGCTGGCAGCATTGTTGCGGTAACCGGTTCCGGGCGAGATGAAGACGCCGTACGCCTTCTGCCCATTCAGGGTGACTGGGGCGCCAATGGCGCTGGCAAGGTTGTCGTAGCCATTGGCTTCCGGGCCCTTGAAGCCGCCGGGAGGGGCCTGGGTGAGGTGATTCCCGCGGCCGGACTGGTCATAAATCACCGTGATCAGGCAGGTCATGCTGGCGCAGAAGGTGTCTTGAGCAGCAGCGTTGGCGACGCCGCCCGCAGAACGCGGCGCAATGTTCGTCGTGGCACCGTCGGAGCCGCGTTTGACCTGGTAGAGTGGGCCAGAGTAGGCGCTATACAAGGCACGAGTGGTGCTGTGCGCCGCAACGCAGGGTGTGCCACCGGAGGAGTAGATGTCGCAGGGCGCGGCAGCAGCCAAGGAGGACGAGACTACCAGGCCGAGGGCAAGTACAAAAGCCCGCTCGCGGCTTGGCTGAGAGAGCATGTTTGATCACTTGTGGTGTTCAGGTGGGCCGAGCACGCCTGGAAGAGAATCCAATTCAGCCACAAGATGATGGAAAGGTAATTGATACAGAAGAGATTCGTTGAAAGGTCTGATGACTCTGAGGCCATGTTGTGGTCGCGTCTCCCGTTATATAGTCCTCAGTGAATCCGGTTGTGAATGTCGACTATCCACGAGCCGGGGCATGTTCAATGTACATGCCTGTAGCCCCTCAATCCTGGCGGTCCTCGCTGAGGGGGAATTCAACACTCATCCAATGGGATTTGGACAGAGTGATGTTCCATCCCACCTCATGGGTAGTGCTTGCCAGAAGCCGTCTCTCTCTGTGTGTGTGCGTGTGTTATTAGGTCCTCTTTCTGCAATGCTGGAGAACAATAGCTGCAGATGGGCAATGAATGCACCCCGCATAAAGGTAGCATTAATATATAACAAGGCTTCGGGGGCTTAATTTAATTTCCATCCACTCGTCTAGGGCCAATTCCAGCTGGTGCCGCCGGGGTTTTTCCAATCCCAGAGACTCAATGGCTGATCCTGGCTCATGGTATAATTCCGTGAAGAGTGTACTAACGCATACCCTGTCTAACTCTACTCCGGTTGACTTGACCAAGTATCTTGAATGCTGCGCATGCGTAATGACATCGGTACTTCTACGTAGTACTTTACCCGTCCGTTGTGAGAACAGCTCCTCAACCGCGAGGTAGGAATGATTATAGCCCAGAAAGATATGATTTGTCAATGAAGTTATGCCCCGATTATTATTCCCCTTCCCCGGCATCCCATGGACGGGTAGCAGGGTTAGAAGGGACAGAATTTTACAGATCTTTAGTATGTAGTCGGTATCATCATCCAGCAAGTATCCGAATGATGCTTTAGGCACTCAGAAAGACAGTGATCCTAGAATGCGAAAGTAAGTGCTACCTCTTGCCAATGGTCAGTGTCCTTACAACCTCGAAAGAAATGCGCCCTGTCATGTCATGGTATATACATCATACAGGGTGTCATGTCAACTCAACCGGTGTGTGTTGACCAGATCGACAGGCACGTGATGTAAACATACACACATCACACTAGGCCAGGCTGCACTTCTTCTTCTACTTACGTAGTGGAGTTATTCTTCTCTCTTCACTCTCTGGCCGTCCATTAGATCCCTCGACAAGCGTATCTTCAGCCCTATTTCGACGTCATGCGAACCCGTAATTTGCCCAAGAAATCAATCACATACTCGGCTGCCAGGGACCGCGAGGATGATGTACTCCGCCAATTGGAGTACTATGATGCTCAAGCCTTATTCTTCTCTCAGCTGAGTGAAAACACTGACTGGATGGGAAGGGTCGTCGAACATCATCTGCATTTGGGATCCAAGCATAAATGCAGCGTTGCTAGCCAGGAACAGTGGATTCATGGGAGCTTCAATCTCTGCATCCCAATTACAATTAGCGGTTGGGAACACCGGAAGCAGCGAGGAAATCGGGTTTTCTTCCGACTTCCTCTTCCTTACCGGGTAGGGGAAGAGTTTCGACCCGGCAACAGCGATGAGAAGATCCGGTGTGAAGTAGGAGCTTATGCATGGCTGCAAGAAAACTGTCCAGATGTGCCGATCCCGCGCCTCTATGGGTTTGCACTGTCAACTAGTGAACGTGTACGACTCCGATCATCATCTTTTTTTTTTTTTTTTAGGATCGGAACTAATATGTGAAGTAGTTTACTCATATTGATCATTTACCCTTCCTGAGCCGATACTTTCAGAAGATGCGTCGGTGGTGGCTTACGTTTCGTGGCCTCACAGTACCATCGTGCTATGTGCCCCATCCAAATAACATATCTCCACATGGCTTTGGGGTCGGATATTTGTTGATAGAGACCATTGAGGAACCTCAAGGGAGCATGCTATCTAATACATGGTCGAGAAACTGTTCAAACCCCGAGTTACGCGCAAACTTCTTTCGAAGTCTGGCCAGAATACTCTTGAGTATGAGCCGGATACCATTGCCCCGGATTGGCTCTTTCACCATCAACAATAATGGATATCTACTTCTGAATAATCGGCCACTTTCAATGGAAGTTCAGATGCTAGAAAATGAGGGGATACTCAATGACATCTCCCGTGATGTAACCTATTCGACTGTCGAGTCTTACACCGCAGATATCCTTCACGTCCATGACAGCCGTCTGCAGGGCCAGCCGAATGCTGTAAATGATGTGTCTGATTGCAGCATACAAATGGCGACTTTGGCCGCTATGCGCGCTCTATTGCCACGGTTCTTTTCTCGAAAATACCGCCATGGGCCGTTCCTTTTCTCCTTGACAGACCTGCATCAGAGCAACATCTTTGTGGACGCGGACTGGAACATTACCTGCTTAGTCGACCTCGAATGGGCATGCTCTCGCCCAATTGAAATGGTTGAGCTTCCATATTGGCTGACTGGGAAAGGCGTGGATCAAATTGATGCATCCGAATATGATATCCCCCGAAGAGAGCTAATGGCCATCCTTGTGTCAGAGGAAGCCAACACTGCCCACCAAGGAGTACCACCACTGTCCGAGATTCTCGCACATACATGGGCTTCAGGAACATTCTGGGTTACGCTGGCTTTGTCAAGCCCTTCCGGTCTTTTTACGATATTTGGAAAGCATATCTATCCACTGTTCGCTAGTGACGGCAGTCCTGCCGATGGTGCGCTACCGTTTTTCTGGATAAGAGATGCGCCACAGTTTGTCATTTGTAAGATTTCCGAAAAGGAGGAGTATGATAGAAAGCTCAAGCTTGCTTTTTGCGAGCCAACATAAGCGATCAGCTGGCTCTAAAAGCTTATATCTACCTGCGGCCAATAGTCTATCCCAGAGATTTAGGGCAATAAAGACGATGCCGCAGTGTTGATGTCTGTCATCATCAGAGATGGGTCGAAAATTGAGGTGCAACTGGGAAACACCAGCTGACTACCCCCAAAACTACTGACAACGAAACTCTCATGGAAGAACCGACCCATTTTCAACTGAATTGACCCTGAACAGGAGGCCATAGAAACATTCCGATCACCTATCCTAGTTTGGTGGGAATCTGAGTGGGCTAAGAGGCCTAAAGGTCTGGTTGACACGGATGAGAAGACAAGCAGCGGTTAGGAAGGTAGGAGATAGTAGAGGCAAGACCTACAAAATACCCTTATATCCTTGGTCCACATGGAGATCTTTCTTCTTTCTGAGGCCCAGCTCCATGATAGATACACACTTAGCATACCCTTCCTACAATTTCTATTTTAAAAACATTGGATTGACATCAGTAGTAGTAGTGCAATTTGTAGTCCACCTTAACCGAATACACGTATCAAGCAGGTAAGGCGCATTGTACCCTAGGGATAGAGCCACATCTTGATTCCGCACCTGTAGATAGTCTGGGCTGAAGCTAGGGCCCCTGATTATCGACTACATCAATACCACCCACCTGGACTTACGCCTTCATGTATGTGATTGCGACAGACAAGTATCCCCGATGATACCTCCTCCACTGGAGGGAGGATCCGGTGGAAACATCCAGTGGGTAGTCACCCAATCATTTGGCTAGCCAACAGCGTGAGGGTTCCACAAGGCCGGAAGATGCTCTCGCCTGGAATTAGTGAGGGTATTCCAACGGGGACATAAAGGCAGTCATCGGTATCGACATCTACTACAGCGGATCAAAGAAATCCGACCTGTCAATTGAGCGTCAGTTGTATGTACGAGGGCGAGAAGTTGGACATGCCGGAGATGAAGCAAGAAATCAAGAAGAGAGGACTGCTCTTTTTATATTTCAAGACGTGTTACTAAACCAGTGTCAGCTCTTTCGAGCCCAATATGGATACTATATCAATCGAAATTTTGCGCCTCACGAAATAACGACAAGATTGAGAGCAATTCAGTTAGGGATAAGCTACAACAAGCTGGCAGAACCAGGGTCACCGAGCACTATCGATTACTCAAGACCTAGTCTTGAGAAAGGATTCTGCAATTCATCGATGTCACTGTTGTTAAACTTGCGCTTGACAGCGTTGATGATCTGTCCAAACTGTCTGACCTCTGGTAAACCTTCAGGATCAATTTGAATATCTTGAATCATAATTTCCTCCGCTAGAAGACATTGTTAGCTACCAGACAATAATCGCAGCGAATCAGCAACTTACCTGTAAACATTTCCCAATAAGCCTCTGCGATTTTATCATGGTCTTGATGACTTCTTGGCCTAAGAGCAAGCAACATGGCTGCGAACGGAACTACCCAGCGGTCCCCGAAACAGCATTGCGCGATCTTGATCGTCTTTTGAATCTCCGAATGTGTGGTAGAGGGTAAATACTTGAAATTCGTCCGTAGCTCAAGGACTCGATTTGCCAAGGATATCCATCTGTTCTTGTTTTCTAGTCCAGGGTGCAGCTCAAAGAGTCCGAGATCCATCATCTGCTGCAGAGAGACCCTTGCACAATTTCCCTCGATTTCCAACCGCCCCTGAGTTAGATATTCACCGAAATAATATCTTTTCTTGAAATTTCCACGTCGCAGCTTGAGGAATCTCTGTAGGTCTAGGGATTCCTCCTTGAAGGCATCTAGTATGTCCAGGTCTTTGATGAACGTGCCCTCTGGGAACCCACTCGTGTCGAGAATATATAGAAATATTTCGCTGAAGTCCGGGTTGTCATAATCCGTTTCATACCGATATAAGCCAAATTGCAGTGCAAAGAGTAAGGAACTAGTCCAACTCATAAAGTTAGATTGCTTATTGCATTGCCACATAAGATGTGCTTTTATAAGCGCTGCAGCCTTCGTTGGGCTATGGTTGAAGATGTCATCTGGGGGATTGCTACAGTCAGGGCTCATCAATGCCTCCGAAATGACAGTAGACATGCTCGCGCTTCCGCCACTTTCAGGAGCAACGATACGAAAGAGATATGTAGGGATCTTGTTGCTTGAGAAGTATCGCAACCGAGCCCTTTGGGAGGGATTGGGACTGAACGGAGTCTGTGAAGCCATTGTGGGAACTCTTCTGGATGATGAAGAAGTTATCTTCACCTTAAGGGTATGTTGGTGGCCTATTTAAATGGAAACCAAAGGCTCCCAGGACAAGACAAGGAGGGGTAGAATTGGGCGAGGAGTTGTATGTGGCGCTGTTCTGAGCGAGTCCAACAGTCGAAAGCGCATCATGGTCTCGAGTCATGCACCCCTCAGGCATTCGCGCGCTGGCTGACGCGTATATGGCTTGTGATTGGTAACTTCTCTACTCTCCAGCAAGGCTGACAGCATCGGGGGAACTGCTACGTGGTCTACGCCCCAAACATCCATCCCATACTCTAGAAGAGGCAGTAGCATTGAGTTGAGGGAAAGGTTCTACAGAAGATCAGAGCCTCTATTTGAAATATTGCGCACTAGTCCTCCCACATAGCATATTAGATCTGGAATGGGTGCAAGCAGCACCTGAGTCATCCTCCTCAGGGCAGATTAATTGTTTTGGGGCGAATTTGCTAAATCCATTTGCGACTCGTGCTCCTTCACCTTTATCGCCTCACCCCGTTAGTCTCTTACATCTCCAACATGGCTGGTAAAGCCGTGATGATAGATCGCTAGGCTGGCAGAGTATGGATGATCCTTTCTTGTTTTCTTTTCTGTTTGAGCTCTTCTTGAAACTCCTCGCGACTTATGGACGGAGGATTGTAGCATACCTGGATCCCTGCTGGGTTAAGCTTACAGCTAGGGGTGTCTATTTAGTCCCATGGATATGTCAGATCGAAGTTCGACACTAGGCCAAGGAGTGTGAAAGTGATTTGGAGTCTTTGCGTCGGACACTGCGCCTTCATGGCGGCATGAGATACTGTGTGCAGCCAGTCCTCCTCCTCCTGAGCAAAGTCTTCAAGTGACTTGATGTTTTGCTGATCCTTGAATGTTCGGTCCCAGGGAAAGTTCGAAGCCGTGGCGCAATTAAGTGCGGAATGAGATCGGCTTCGGCAGTAGTCGTTCTCCCACCTTGGTTTGTAGTTGCAGATGACAGGTAGAGCTCTTCCAGATTTGGGAAGCCCTGCACATCAAAGCCAGTAAGACCTGCTTCATCAATTCAGCGGATTGTTATGGAGCGGAAAGTGGTCTGATGGATGGCAAGTATTGGTTGTAATGTACTGAGACTCTAGTCTGTGTATAGCCCCAATACACTGTAGCGGCAGCCAAACGTGAACTGCAGATCAAAGGTCTTCAGAGATGCCGGCCACGTAACCAGATGTTCAAGTACTCGAGGCGTCTGTAAGAAGTTACTTAGTCTGAGCGTCATGAATGGGGCAGTTCCTGCCTCTCTCTACTGCGGCGGTTAGCCTGGGCTGAAAGAGGTTCATAACGTATAACCAGGATGATTGCACACTTCCTTACTAAATATGGGTTTTGAATGTGTGCCAACTCCCAATAGCTTATCCAGTTTCTCTGGCGAGGCTGGCGGTAAACAACGCATCGTCCATGCTCATTGAAAACTCTAGTATCCCATTCGCTATCAGGGCTGCCGAGATGATTCAACCACCACTAATCACACAACGACTTCCACCAGGTTTGTAAAATCAAATACGCACAAGAAGCAGCTATTGACCAATCACTCAGGCAGAGTAGGCAGTTATCAAAAGGAGACGGCGCATCACTTACCGGTTTAGTCATTCAGACAAGGCTGACCGCGTTCACGAGTCAGCCTGACTTGATCCCTATAATCTAGTATATCTCACCCATAAAGCAGCAGGCGCATATAACTTCTGGCTGCATTAATAATTATAGCTTAAGTACAGCTGAGCTTATGGGAAGCCCTGTTCTCCATATGTACTTGAAGTCATAAAGACATGGTTTATATAGTGCCATATCGATATATAATGGTGCTGTCAGTCTGTGGAAGCAATCATGTACAGTAGTCCACCAGATCCATACTGGTTTCTAAGTCTGATAGCGCACATCGCCAAAAAGAGAGGATAACCGACGGCTGATGACTGTCATTGTGCTAACCAGTTTACGAAGGCAACGCATGTTCCTCAAGTTATGGTGCTATGTACTTTGCTTGCCCAGTCAGGGAAGATCTAGATAGGCACAATCCCTTAGATCTACGTAGAGAACATCACCTGCGTTTTGAACGCTAGACTTTGTGGGACAAGAATCAGCCTCTTTCATTGACCCTGCATTGGCTTAGAAGCCAGGGTTCAGACTCCCCAGAAGCGTGAACAGACTGGTATCAGTGCTCGCCCGGAAAATCGAGAGTTTGAATAGTCTAATGTGGGTATCTTTTCCTGATGGTATCATGTCATGTTGAGCAGGTGACCGATATAGTCATGACCTCAAGGAAAGTTTACGACCCTCCGAGATAATAATCGTCTTAACGATGAATCAAATCCATCTATGTGGGCTACGTCCATCAACATCTCCACGTTGAGGGCGTCAGGCTCGGTGCCCTGGTAGGGCTGTCCGGAAGTCATATATGTCATGGATACGGGGGAATCGCCACCCCCAGCCCAGCGGTGGGGTCTACATAAACCCTAACCAAGAACCCATGTGGATCATAACAATCTAGATTCTTAACATCATGTCTTGATTACCAGCTATCAACATGCCAAACATCAGCCTGTCTCGTGCAGTGTCTCGTCCAAATCCGGTGCGATTGGTCTCATTGGCCATCCGCACCCGCTCCAATGGTATATTGCCTCTGACCCCAGAATGCCTACAGAAAGAGCGCACAGGGTAATGCATGGCCTAAAGGGTTCCATATTGAGAAGACGAGCGATATACCCAAGTATGAAACAACAAACGACGATGCAAAAGTCTGGCAACACACATCAAATCAGCAACCACCGACAACACGGCCTGCTGTTGCGGACTCAAACAAGAACCATATCTATTACAGCCTCAAGAAGTACAGGGAGGGCCCAAACCCAGAGAGCGGCGAACTGGGTAAGGATTATGACTCGGAAGAAGTCAAGACTCACAACAGGGATGTGGACTACAGACATCGCAATGATTGAAGGCCCCTCCTACTATGGATGAAATGCTTCTACTATTCTTCAGCTGCTGGATGATTCTGGACGTATGCTTTACGCGTGCTATTCTCTGCAGGAAATCGCAGTAGTCACAGTCTGTTTACTCTAAGAGTCTGAAATATGTTAAAACGCAGATTTGAGGGGCGAAATTGAACAGATCTTTTCCCTCCTAATCCGATCAGCAGGTGTGTGACCTGGAATGAGGGGTAAAAAGGTCGTCGCTCTATCAGTGGGCAGAGCGACCATCCCTAGAAGATAAATATATATAGTGAGATGCTTGGATGATTGGAATAACACGTAGAGTACGAAGAAGAGGGGGGATAGATTCAAACTGCTTGGAGTAGCACAGACCATGGTTGGCAGGATTTGGTTCCTTACAACTCCGAGACACATCTCCTCTCGCGGAGCTGGAGCTCAGGTGGTTCTCTGCAGACATGTCAGCGTAATCATGACGCACTGGAGGTGCCATTGAATCCTTATATGGACTCTCTCTTATCAATCATCCTCGAAGGTAACAGAATCAGTTATACTTAGCACTTGAAGCACTCTATCATACAGCATACCTATCAAGTCGATATGGCTCCCACATCAGCCCACCAATACCTTGACATGGAGATCAAAGATGACATGCAATATGATATTCGAATTGAAAACGCTCGTATAGACAGGTAGTCATGTCCCAGTGTCTTCTTTCTAATACCAAACAATTTCCAGCCTCGTCTGACATCCGTTCAGCGGCGAGTTCCACAGCGCGAGTGATGAGAATGATACTCTCACCACCGACGACGTTGAAGACCTGATGATTCGTCATAACGGCGGCACGCGACATGTGTGCTCCTCTGGCGAAGAAGAAGGCTTCAAAGGATTGCAAGGCACCATCGATCTCGTCGACGATGTAAGAGATGCCAGAATTTGCACCCTAGCATGGAATGCTCCTATGGAGCCTGGGAAGAGAAACCTGCTCATGATGCATCATCATGATCCGCAATACAATGTTGAGATTGGCAAGTGGAACGAATCTGGTGTCATGGGAACTGTTCCAATTACCATCAGTAACCAGTAACTGTTCCGCGGCTATGCCCTTGGGGGCCTTGAGGCCTCGTGTGAATTCTTTTCTTCGTACATAGGAAATTTTTATGCAAACAGATCAACAATTGCTGTAACTTGCACCAGTTGAGAGTACAAAACAGCTTCAGGGTCTAGTCTCCTGTATACCACTGCTATCGGGGGCTGCTGAGGCCATACAATAAGTGTCTAACATGGGAAGATTGGGCCACCAATCAACACTGACATAGATCAGGCTGCTAAAAACAGATGAGTATGAAATGCAACCATTGGGCATGGGCACAGCAATCCCAAGCAAACAGCGCCTCACGAGATGGCTGTAATAATGACTAGTCAGGCCTAGTTCACTGGCTAACCTGACTTCAGACGTCCGACTCGACCCAAATAGACATAGGTTGTCCTTCGAGTTGAAGGTAGATAATAAGGAGGTGCTGGAGATCGGGACACCAAAGGACTGCTAGAAAAAAGGTGCAGTGGCTCTGGAGAAAGTCAAAAAGCCAATGAAATCTCTAATAAAGACATAGAACCCCTCCTGGCAGCAGCGCTATAAACGGAGTGAGCCAAAGAGGACCACACTCGATTCATCACCCAGCACTGGCAGCACCGATGAGAAAGATAGATCGGGATCCAACAAGGGAGTTGGACTACTCTGGGTCCATCCGTCTGGCGTAGTCTGGCTGTTCAAAGTCAAGTGGCCTCTGTTTACGAACCCAAGAGAGTTATCCAGTAGACATTTATATGGCGGATGCCCTCGGTTCAAGTATAGCTCTCTCGACCACGGAATTCTAACTAACACGGACTGCAAGGACTCGGCCATTATCGCTTGTATGTCAAACAGAGTTCTTCATTCTCTCATATTCAGGCATGGCCCATCTAGCCATCCATTCCGACTCCAGGACCTGTCGTGCGTTGGGCCGATCCTCAGGCCTGAATGACAACATCCACCGCAGAATGGCAAAAAGAGCTTCCCTTTCTCCTGTGTCCACAGGCGGCATACCCGCCTTTTGTCTAGGTTGTTGAACACTGTCCTCGAAACGGTCATCCCACGATCTCACGGAATCCATTTTCAGACTACTGCCTTCTTCTGTAAAATATTCCCGCCGAGCTTCCCATTTCTCCCACCACGCCGCGGGTAGTTTACCCAGGGTATCGATTTGCTCACGGGTGATGTAGTCTTCCGTCGCAAGGAAGTTTTCAAATAATGGCCGCTGGGCAACGGTACTCCAGATGGAACAGGCTAGTGTCCATATATCCGAGGGGAAGGACAAAGGTATTGTGGGTTCGAAGCGAACCTCGGGTGGACGGACAGCCAGAGGCGTATGAGACCAGTGTCTCTTCTCGACGGATGGTGCATACGCCTCGCCAAAGTCTGTAAGAATGATCCCGGCTTGACTGAGCGTGAGATCTTCACTCGCCTTTCCTAGCCAGATTGGTACAATAGAGTGGTTTGGCACGCCTGGTAACAGAGGTTTTCCATCTAGACGGACCACAGTCTCAGAGACCGGTGCGCCGTACTTTTCGTATAACTGTGGAACAGAAAGTTCATCAAGACCCTTTGGTAATTGAAACAGGACGTTACCCAAGTGTAGATCGCCGTGGACAAAACCTCTGGAGTGAACTTGTTCGATAACAATCGCAAGCTGCGCAGCCACGGCGCGAGCAACACTCATCTGAAATAACCCTTCCCAAGACCCATCTTTTGCATCTGACAGGCTCATTCTCGCAGGTGCAGTAACATAGCAGCCATGAGCACCATTCGGACCGTGTATATCAAACCTATCGAGAACGGGTGGTAGCATATCCTGCCCCGGCCTGTGATTGGAGGCTTCTCTCACATTCGTGAGGACCGAGAGGGTATCAATTTCGCGTGGGTCAGACTCTGCCGTGCAGACCTTGACTGCAACATATCTCTTGAGCTGCTCATCTTGTGCCAACCATGTAGTCGAATATGAGCCGTGGCCGAGCTTATGAACCACGCGATATCGGCCGTGGAACAGGTCGCCAATGCAGACAGGATGATACCCACCCCGTCGATAGTTCTCAAATCTTTCTACATCTTCCAAAGGCTCGTAAAGAATCCCACCCTCGTTGGAATCTTTGGAGTGTAACGCGGTGGTGGATGACGCGCGGCGGTGTTGTTTGCATATGGGTTTCTTCTCTCCCTTACTAGAGACGATGCTGAATCGGGGTATCCAGGCAGAGGTGCGAACGAACCGGGACAAAGATAGTAAAGAGGTCATTGTTGCTCCTATGCTGTTCCATGCATGAAAACGCGTTGGTCCTTGCACCCATCACAACTGCAGACACGCGTCTCGACCGGTCAGACATTATTCCGCTTTCATATGTGATGGATGCAAGGATGGCGGTCGCTGTAGTTAGATAGAATCTGCTGAATTTCGACCAAAATTTCTACGGACATTCCCAGTCGTTGGAATCGTACAGCATATGAATGCGTGAATCTCTATTCATACTCGTAAAACAATCAAGCTTCTACATACAATGATCCGGATTGCCAGCCGGATTCCCCCACCAGGTTGGGAACGGATGCTCCGTCCCACTAGCCCCAAAGACAGCAAAGGACAGAATGAAGATAACAATCTGCGATCCCCCATCCATCGCGGCCCCGATGAGATAGTTGTACTTGTTATAAATCCCCGGCAGCCGACGTCGCAGCCACACCTGCGAGAACACACCCACCGCAATCGACGAGAAGATCCACGATGTATTCCCAAAGTAGGAGGAGCCAGCATATGTGGTAATAATTGCCGTGTTGAGATGCCAGTCGCGGATCCGCGGGAAGACCTTCATCAGACCCCAGTGGATGAACGGTAAGGCGAGGCCGATGACCAGACCCAGAGGCACGATGAGATACTTTCCGTTCACGCCGTATACGTACCGTGCTAGAGCCCAGGTGATGGCTTGCGAGTTCAGACTCTGCACCGTCGAGCCGCTCCAGACGCTGTTGCCCTCCGGGTCGAGGAGGATTTCGCGCTGATTGGTTACGATCGTTGTCATGATGGCGTAGTTGAGCCCGGCGCCGAGCAACGTCCCGTAGATTTGGGTGGCGAACATGATCCGGTGCGGGATCTTGGTGTACTGTCCGACTTTGAGCCAATTGGCCAGGTTGACTGACAGCAGGATGACCTGGTGCGACCAGCTGGCGAAGTAGAGATTGGCGAGCGGGCGGCCGGGATGCACGGCGCCGGCAATCATCTTGGATAGCTGGTTTGTCGCAACACCAGTGCCGTACAATCCATATAGAATGCAAGAGAAAGGCGCGATGAAAGCGCCAACAAGCAATGCGATGATGTAACCCCACACTGGCAGAGTAGTCTCTCCCTTGATATTGACGATAAGACCGGCAACGAAGGCTAGCAGGAACAGGGCGAAGTACCACCACATGGGTACCTCTTTATACCGGAGCATTGCCTGGTAATGCGGGTCGGGCTGGGTTCTACTGCGGGCTTGCTTCCAGGAGAGATACATATCCTTGCCGTTGAAGATGAGGACATGGGTTATCAAAGCCCCAATGGCCAAGTTCTGCGTCAGATACCCCCAGACCGTGCTGGAAGTGAGCTGCGGGAGACCTATTTCTGCCAATTTGTCGAAATTGATGATCCCCCTGTCGTTGGTAATTGATGAGGTGTGGAACTGTTTCCCGTTATCCTGAAAGAGCGAAGTCGACATGAAAGGGAACTTCTTCGCGCCCCATGCATTGCCGTAGAAGAGCCCTAGCATGGCCGGGTAGAAAATGACATATCCAATCCAGCTGTTGAGTTGCTGCTTGAGTGGCAGAGATAGGTATGTACTCTGGATATATTGCCAGTCGAGGCCGAAGTTCAGTAGCCCTACACCCTCATTGGATGCGGCGCCTCCGAAGATACGCGAGAAGACGGATCGGGTATGGAGGGGAGCATGCATCGAGGCGAGGCAGAATACAGAGAACCCCGAGAGCCAGGGGATGATGTACGCAGGGAAGAGTTCCCAGATTGCAGCCAGGCCCAACGCCCAGCCGAACTTGATGAGGCGGCCGCGGTTTGCCTTGGCATCGAAATGCAGGTTTTGGAAGAGCACCACCTGGGGGAGGGTGGTCCAGTACACCATCTCAGCGGGATAGACAATCAAAGGCCGCAAGAGACCGGCCAGGATGAATCCACAAAGCGAAATTGAGAAAGTACCGAGGACCGCGGTGGTTGCTGACACGCTGATGTTGTAAAAGAGTCGCTCGACGGCATAGACCTCCACCCCAGAGAGACCGTTGTTAGCAGACGAGGCGACCAGGGATGCAACGACATGTTCTTTGATCCCAAAGGGCTGTCCGAAATTCAGAAAGCGAAGTACATTCCGCAGCCATTTCCAACGACATCTGTCCGGACTCGGAGTAAACAATGCCCATGCCTGACCGAGGATATAGATAAGAACTATGGTTTCTATTAGCAACCGACAATCAGTCAACTCTTTTCTATAGTTCCTCACGCTGGAGAAAAATCGGCGAGATCTGCATCTGGACCGGCTTGAAGAGATAGAGCATGGTAATGACACTCGACAAGGCAGTGAAGGCTGAGCCCAGCACCATAGACCGGAATGTCAGAGTGGGATCCCCATCGTCTCTGGTGGAAACGATGAATCTGGATACATCATCACCTACATAACCTATCAGTGGAATGCTAGGGGAATACATGCATAATGGCCGTACCGTTTCGGATCACTGGGTGTCCTTTGACATATTCGGCATCTTCTGGCTCGGACTTGAGGATATCATCGCCATCCTTTTCCTGTACAAGCCCCTTGGCGTGCTTCTCACTGGCGCTATCCAGTGGTTGCTGCGTTATATTTCCTCCTTTGTCAGCAGACGCAATATCCGCATCTTCTTTGGTCTCCATCGTATCGACAAATCGCGGTTAATAGTCGCGGAAAGACTTCTGAAGCGATATGGAAACGAAACAGTCGATCTTTCTGCTAGATAAGAGGGACAGCACCCGGCTATTTACATTTTTCGAACGTTCCATTCATCGCTCCAAGATAGAGGGGCGAACGACATGAGCGACAGCGCCGACAGGGTTGCAATGGCGAACTGAGACCTTGCGAGGAGCGATTGTTTACTCATTGACAAATAAGCCTTGATGTTTGTATTAGTATATCCAGCCATTGTGTCTTTTCATAGGTGTTGACCACACTAGTTGGCCTCTAAGACCGGTGCTCCGTAGGCTTTACCCGCTCTTTCACCATTTGTAGCGCCGATCACACCATAATCCCTGCCAATTGTAACATCTCAATCGATATTTTCTTCTCCGTCTTATCAATCCAGTGCGATTCGACCTGGGAGTTGGTAAGCATGGGAAAACGTGCTCACTTCGAGTTGAATCCTGTGGTCTATAGAACAGTGAGGTGATTCCCCCCAGCTCTGGCTCTGAGATACTGCCGCAAAGTGGCCAATTAGTATTGTGTACACATATGAAACTATCGTTAACCATTAGAATCAAGGGCGATAGCAGAGGGATTTAATAATCCAGTCTTTATGTGGGGTATTAAATATATATCTGTATATATACATATATTTATAAATATCTAAACGTTCGACCCCCCGCTTAGTCTCGGACCGAAAGCACCCGGGCAGCACCACAAAGGAAGCCCTATCTGCCATCTATATAGAATGATATGCTTGATGAGGGAATAAATTAAATATCGGGGAGCTACGCGGGCCCCCAGACCCCAGCATGGTAGGTGCTGGGGGCAGCCAGCCAGCCAGTCAGGTGTGTAAAGTGAATCTACATACGTAGTCTCTCCTAAATAACCTAAATATTGAATCTATATGAAATAAGCTCATGGCTCCCTCGGCTGTTTGCTCTATAGACCGCTTCCTCCCTAGCTAGGCTGCTGAATTCCTAGACTGCTAGCAATACCAAATCAAGTAAAGCCTAGAAGACCGATCAGAGGGTCAGGAAGCAGGTGTAAATAAAGGGCACGTGATTGCATCTGTTTTCCAGGGAGTTTTGGGAATGGGGATAGTTTGGAGAAAATTAGTAAGCACCCGAAATTCGCGTTTCACCATATAATAAGGGAAGAGATATAAAGGGAGAGAGGAAATTCATCTTTCAAAATGTAAGGGAGAGATTGATTTTGGATATCGCGGTCTAAAAGTGCAAACCTCGATAGGCTTTCAAATGCAGTATCTCCGCAGGAAAATGCACCTCATGGTTGACAACGATTGGAAACCCCCCAAAGATATACCAAGAATTCCTCATCTAAGAACAGGAATTACTGGGACTAATATATTAGGACATACGATGATTGTCAGTACCATTCAATATTTATATTTACTTCGGTTAGGATTGACCCCTGGATGCACCCCGGCTGCGGAAGTTTTGCGTAGAATCTCTCAGTATATTTGTTTTATACAAATGGAATGAAGTCGAATACGCCAGAAGAGAAGATTGCAAGAACATAATATAATCCCCCGGTGCTTTACGGTTGTGGTGGATGTTGGGAGAATGCAGGTAGAAGAGGTCATCTTAATGTAGCAAAGGCAGGAGGTTGGTAATAAAAGTGAATGAGACATTAGGGAAAGATGCAATTACGTAGTCAAAGAATGAATAAAGCTTAGCTGAATGCTACAACACAAGAAGAGTCTAGGTGGTCTATCATGGGCGTTGTGGCGTGAAGAAATTAATAGACGGAGACAAAGATGCTTTAGTGATAAACTTGCACGTGGCTTAGTTGCCACAATGCCCTACTAGTATGCATATTGCGTATTACAGAGAACCACAAAACCCAAAGTTTCTTTAAAAATATGCATAATGAAATACATGGTTTCATACTCCGAGTATGGAGAGGAAATGATCTCTTGCGATGTCGGGGAACGACCCATGGTTGCCTGCTGGGAGGGTTAGGGCACCACTACATGGAAAGGTTGTTCTCTGTGAGATTGATGCTTGCAAAAGCCAGTAAGAAGTGTTCGACAAACAATCCTCCCAAGGCTCAGGAAATAATGCTCTTGCATTCCAAGTCAAAAGGCCCGAGGAGTAATGCAGGGACCAGAAGATCAACTGATCAAGACTCAAGAAACTCAGCCCTGATTGAAGACGCATAACGCCACTGCTTAGTTTAAGACTCAGTGCACGCCGCAATTGCTGGCCATTGGCTACGAATCACATTAGACTTCGACTGAGGTGCTTGGCACTTGGCAGCCACCGTAGATGACCGGATGCCTACAGTCTACAGAGTACAGAGTACAGATGCATTAGATGCCTAGGTAGCATTCTGTACTCCCAGCCGGCCCGCAACCAGAGAATTTTGTGGAAGGATTGAAGTTTGAACCCAAGACACCGGAGATTTGTGGATTCTTCGGAGCCGGGAAGCTGATTCTCTACAAATGGCGAGTCCGTGAGGAACTGTGGCTTATTATAGTCGGTCTTTGGAAAAGTCTATCGGGAAGCTGCAGAACATGGGATGATGAAGCACGATTCCACATTAAACAGGGCATAAATCCCAAAATCCGGTAACACGGCGACCTATCATAGGCCATGTGGTACCGCTGCATTGTCACAGGAATGTAGATGAATCCGCAGGGTACCTGATTCCTCTCCAGTATCAACCATTATTTGGGTGTTTTCAAGATGAAGACTTGGTGGGTGCGTGTGGAACTTCGGGAAGAAATTTCACGATTCGCACTAAATGTCTCCAGCCCAAGCTGCCCTGGTTAACGTACAAATACCTGAAACATAAGATAAGAATCGTCCAATTGGACACTCGGAATGCGATATTGCTACCGGGACTCGGGGCAGAGCCACGTGTGCTCTGGTGGCTTGCAGCTCGAAGCATGTCATTTATGAAAAAGTCCTTATCTGGCAGATGCAGGGTTCAGGTGGCCCGGGACGACTAAACAGGGGCGTTTTGAAGTGATCCATGGGTTCGGACTGAAGAGATATTGGTGGTCAAACATGATGATTCGTTCGTCCCTCACGGCCATGACTGAGAACACAGCCAAGATCGGATCGCCGAACCTGAGGTATCGCCTCGTATAACTCATCTGGGTCAGACCCGCCGGCGTGGAGTCTGGTTGATCATGATCAGTCTTCCCTCCATGCTGAGGTACCTCAGAGCGAGAGGGCGAGTGAGGTAAAAGGAGGCTGATCTGCCCCTCTCGACACCCATTCCTACCGTTGCTGTTTGTTCCAACGAGTCCAACGAGTCATTCCACTTTCATGCTACAGTCTATGCTCTAGAGATCGCATGATGGCGTCTCAAGCGGAGAACTGGGTGTGGTTGGCGGTAGTGTTGCTGATCGGTATGTTCATCTGTGCTGGACTGACACCAAGATCTAATCATGTCACTTCACAGCATCACTACGATTTATCTCTCGGGTGCTGCAATTGGGTGTACCTCGGAATCTCCAGATGGAAGATCTCATAATGGGGCTGACGGTGGTATGCAGGTCCCTTACCTTTACAATGAGCATAGGAATAACCATCGCATTGATAGGTCTTTTATATTCTACTGACAGTCTTCCTGGGTGAGGTTGATCGTCATGGGACCAACGGCATTCCCATGGATCAAATCGATACCTTGGACAGAGCAACTATACCAGACCGCATCAAGGGAAGCAAACTAGTCATTGTGGTAGAGCAGATGTGGCTGCTTGTTGTCTGGGGATGCAAATACTGTCTGCTGCTTCTATACTCGACCATGACGTGAGTTTTCAGTCGTCCCTCGTTGATACTCACTTCTAACCCGTACAGATCCGGTCTTTGGCAACATCGTTTCGTCAAAATCATCGGCGCCTTCTGCGTCTTCAGCTTCGTCCTCATCGAGATCCTCTTCTTCGCCGCCTGGTGCCGCCCTTTCTCAGCGTACTGGTCCGTCCCGCCAAAGAACACCCAGTGCTCCGTCTACACAAACCACCTCATTCTCGTCCTGTCCCTCAATATCTCAACAGACCTCATGATCATGGCCATCCCGTTCCCCCTCCTCCTCAAAGCGAGGCTCAACCTCTCGAAGAAAATCATCCTCTGCGCCATCTTCAGCCTCGGCATCTTCGTCATCCTTTGCTCTATTCTCTCGAAATACTACTCGCTCTCCCAGCCCTACGGCAGCAGATGGGTCGACTGGTACGTCCGCGAGGCAGCCACCGCCGTCGTGGTCACGAATATGCCGCAGACGTGGACGCTGTGCCGCCGCCTGTTCAACTGGAAGTCCTTCGCGCACACGTCCTATGCTCGCTCCCAGAACAAATATGCCACTCACGGTGACCGGTCGACCGTTCAACTCTCGAGATTTCGAGCCGATAAGTCGCTGGTCCGCTCGGGGGTTGATCCGGCGGAGTCGGGCGAGTACTTCCCCCGGGAGCAGCCGTTGGAGATTTGGGCGCATCGCCAGTTCCAAGTTACGGATGAGGTGGATGAGGGCAGGAGACAGAGCTCGAGCCGGAGTAGCGGTAGTCTTGAGTTTGCCCCGGCTGCGGTGCAGAACGGGCCGTTGAAGGTTACTGTGACTACGGCTTCATGATCTCAATTTTCTTTATAGACGGTTTTATATAGACAGACACTAATGAAATCCCCCATACGAGGCCAGTTTCTGCTAGACTATCAACTAAATAACCGTCAACATGAGTATCACCTTCTATTCCAAGCTCAAAGACAACCAGCCAGGATCACTTTTATTGACTCTTGGAACAGCCCAGCAATCTCTGCCGCCTCGGGCTCGTTGAGAAAAGTCGACCAGTGGGTTAAATTAATCCGAAGATTTTCCGAGACAGTGACCATCACAACCAAGTCGTACTAAGCTGTTAGTTAGCACCAGCACCGCTCTGTGACAAGAGTGTCTTACCCCTGTTTCCTCATGTGTCTCAATCTCCGAGAACCGGATACCGGTATCACTGGACAGGGGCTGCTCAACCGAAAGACATGTGTTAAACAGGGCTGTCTCGGTACCGCATGTCCGCATAACCTCTTTCAACGAGCAGTGTTGATGGGTCATCCTATTATGCAATGATTGCTGGTTCTGCTGCAGCATCTGGCCAATTGATTGTTGTTCGCCAAGCGAGAATCGACAGACAACAAGATTGAACAGTGAGCCCACGATACGGTTCACGTCGGGCACAGGGGCGTCGCGACCGGACACCAATGTACCAAAGACAATGTCTGTGGAAGCGGTGTATTTGCTAAGAACAAGTGCCCAAGCAAATTGGAGGGCATTCGTAATGCTGATATTCTGTCGATCACAGAACTCCCGAAGTAGAAGGGTTGGCAGCAGATCACGTATGTATGTTCTCAGCTCTTTCCGGGGTGGAACGTTGTCGTCCGGGGTCCGAGCCGGTAAAAAGCACGGTCGTGCGCCGGTCAGATATCGCTTCCAGAACTCGATATGTGCTGGATCCTGATTCCACTGGTGCATATATGCAGCCCATGATCGATATGAAGGGCCCTGGTATAGCATCGCGCCACTGTGGTAAGCAGTCCCAAGCTCCCGCAGCAGAATCAGCACGGATGTCGCATCTAGAACAGCGTATCTACCTTCCAACTTGCAAAGTACGCGACCGGACGAGGTTCGATAGATAGTGAACCTGTAGGGGATTTCGTCGCTGGAATGGAGCAGGGAGGGCTGGCGAAGCATATCGAGATCGTCGTCGTTAACATTCACAACGACATCCACATCAATTGGTGTATCTTCCAGCACAACATGGAAGATCTCAGACGGATGAGAGCGGCTGGGCATAAGGATAGTTCTCAAAGCCGAGTGCCGCTGTACGACTCGCCTGAATGACTCCGCCAGAGCGTGAGGATCAATGGGCTTGGAGTTTGAGGCCTCCCAGATTGTGTATGCTCTCAACTGGGCGTCTTTGTCGAACAGAGCGCGGTGAGCAGAGGTACATGGAAAGACGTCATTGATCTTTCCTGAGTTAGTTAGGTTACTGATACCTTCCACATCCCGCTGGAATGAATCTAAATTGTCAAAAGGTGATTGAGAACCAGAGACAGGATTTATGTCGGGCAGCATTGGAGCAGACAAAGTTGCAAGTTTTGCAGCAAGGCCAGCAATACACTTGGCTTCGAAGACATCAGGGACTGTTACCATTATAGTCTCCTGATTGCACTTTGCGACGAACTGCATTGCCATCAGAGAGTCACAGCCAAGGGCTACAAACTCGTCATCTGGGCTAATCTCTCGTGCCTCTATTCCGAGCACGGAGGCCAATGCATCGAGTAGTTTTGATTCTATGTCGGAAAGTGAACGTCCGGCAACGGTTTGATGGTCATTTACCCATGCTCGCAATCTGGCCCACGTCGATTTCGATGCAATTTCGCGGACAGCTGCCCGGTCGAGGAGAAGACGTGAGACCGATGGTTTATACTGAAGCTGCACTGGGATACAACAAAACGGCACTCTATCCGGGGGATGTGTGCAATCCAAATGTCTCATGAGTTGTAGGAATATGCTCTGCGTATGTCCTTCAACTCGCTTCAAGATCATAGATCCGCTGAAATCGTTCGTCTCATCTTTAGCGAGAAGACCAACAAAAAGAGCCAATCTTGGGACCCGTAATCCTTTCGCCGTGATCCATTCCGCAGCAACCTGGAAATTACTTTCCAAGTAGTTTTGAGCCTCCCTCTCGAGATCGAAGGGCCATTCGGCTGGTTGCCGTCGATTAGTGACTTGATATCCGACGTACTCTTCCAGGACGCTTCCTATTTTCGATTCCGGATGGTGAGTGATTCTCGTGAAACTGTCCTCAAGTGCCAAAAGAACTGCCTGAATCTGATCGGCCGACAGAACCGAATCATCGTAGAAGGCATTGATGGTCAGCTTTTCCTTTCCCGGTTCACAGACAATGCTCAAGGGTTGCGTGCTGAAACTCTGGTATGACTGGCGTTTCCATGCCTCGTCCTCTTCCAGCTGCCAAAGACCAGATTTAGCTGCTTCTGTGGCTACTTCTCTCTCCACAGGCTGGACAACTAAAAGACATTGAAAGTCACATCCCCTCGCTGCCTCAGCACTAACGGTCTGAATTCTCTGGATCCCTGTCTGCTCAAATGGCATCAATGCAATACTGTGCTCTTGGATCTGTCGGAGTGCGTTTACAAGACTCTCATCTGGTTGCAGAACGGTACGGAAAGGGTACGTAGCGATTGTAGGCCCAGAAATATCGGCTGCGCCGATGGAGCTGCGGCCAATGACAGTCACCCCGAAGACAACGTCTAAACTGCCAGTGTACCTAGAGAGAGCCATTGCGAGCGCAAGGCGGATAGTAGCAGACAAAGCTGTTCCTTTGGTGTCGGAAGCCTGCAAACCAATCGCTCTCTGTGTCCATTGGATTGTAGCGCAGGATAGATCAGCAACCGCATTCATGTGAGGAAGAGGTAGGTCATGTAGACCCTTGAATTCTTCCTTCCAGAAATGCTTACATCTCTCTTCGTCCAGTTGGTAAATATGGCTGATATCGGGATCGGCATACAGAGGATTACAACATCCTCGGCCAGTGCGATTGCGCCATTGGCTTGGAAGAATGCCACCTGTCCCTTCATACAGTGCCCGGGCGACGACTGGTCATAGTAGTATTTGATCGGAGTGCATTGGAAGATGCTGACGAGGACCACGGTGGTAGCCCAGGTAGCGATAAAGGCGATCAAGCAATAAGAGGTGATTTCGTAGGAACGAACGCTTCCGAGGATACGCTTGAGAAAGAGGACGATGGAGATCTTAATGACGGCCATGGAAGGAGCCCAGAATTTGCCTATCATCCAGGAATCCTTTGCGTTGTCAGTTGTTTAGACAGTCATATGTGGGCGCACGGGTCTCATACAAACTGAATGCGATGGCGCGTATGTGGAGGAAGAGCGTCCAATGGCACACCGATGCCGTTCAAGGCGCCTAACCAGTTAGCATACTTCGGTCACTTCGATAGGCACAATACTCACTGTCCACCACAAACCCCGTAAGAAAGTAGGAAAGAAGCAGCCCGATGCCCATTAGCACATCTTCTACGAGGAAGCCGATGTGCCTTAGTCGGCGTGCGTGTAGACGCAACAGATAGATGAGCGTAGCCAGGCCAGCACCGATGGTGGGAACGATGATGAGAACATTCTTCCAGTATGTATTTTCTTTGTATACCATAAGGTTGAACTAAATGACCGTATAATCCATTTTGCAACATCATAGACGTGCCTCAGCTGTCCAAGTGACCGATGGATGATATATCAACAGAGAACACTTTTGTTTCATCCTTTTTTTTCCGAAAGCCTCAGGCAATCAGGCCATTGGTCATTGATCGTTGATGCCACTGAAGAAACCTTATATCACTTCGACATTGTCTGATTGGACAACAGATTACCGAACAAAGCGTAGTGGCGAACCTTAAGGGCAATTGTATAAAGATTCTATTGTGATTGGCTGAAAGAGACGGTATCACATTTGCACTTACGGCCGAGACGAAGGAAAGCATCCATATCAGGCATTATTTCACATGAGATCGAGATTGCTTGGTTTCCTCAAATTTATCGTATGTTGCGATGTGCTTTTTTGGTACTCAAGAAAATGTTTCGGAGATCTATAGCCATCCCCATAACCGTGCTACAATTCTGGATACGCGCAGCTCATCTTGTTCATAGCGCTATCCAGATCCCAATATTGTACCTCTATGAACTGGTAGCCCTACCGTACAAAATCAAGGAAAGCGCAGTACTGTCTATCAAAGACAACTATGCTTCGGAGATCTGACATATAATCTGCAGATATGCGCGGCCTTCATGTTTGTTCACCCCATCACCAAATAGTGCAGCCCAACAAGGGAATGATACTTGCTTTCTGTATCATTGTTCCAATTCTTCTCCATTTACCAATACCACTTGCTATTGAGGTATCTCCCCTATAACTACTGTGAAATACAACTATCCAAGAACGTGGTGGGAGGTTTCGGTTGTCGAAAGATGTTATACGCCCCTTGGCGTCTAAGAGTTCAATATTCGCTTTTTTTTGGGTTACTGAAAGTGTAGCTAAGTTCCTATGAGAATGTGGACTTTTCTTCACGTGAGTTACCTTGACCCTGGTAACCAACATGTGATTGCTGATCCCATTGCATATGATTCCCGTTGTCCATTGTGGTGCTTCGGCAACCAGCAGTGCGGTGTTGGTCGTTATCACAAGCTAGGAGAGTAGACTTGTCAAAGGATGAACAATCATGTCGTATACTGTAAGAGTCTCTCGTCTTGTGTCAAGCACCCCTATAGTGATCGCTATCAAACGTTTGGTTAAGAGTATGTATGGCAAGAAATACTGAGCAACGTCTTTCCATGAATTCATCCTGGTATGCCCTTTTCTTGGCTTCGGGGGCTGTAGGTTCCCCTTGTGATGGTAGCACATGTACGGTAGGTGGGTGATTATCGCGATATATAAAGCGTCAACAGCAGAATTGTCGACGGCAATAGCCATCATCAGTAATCGTTCCCTGGCAGAGCTCAGTATCAACATGTATTCAGTCATGGCTTCCAGTCTGGTACGCCTTTCTCTCACTGCAGCTGCACTATGCTCAGTCAGTATCTCTGCGCACCCTGTCTCCGACTACTTGTATCCCTCAATTACCCGCAGGGATGGCAATGCAAAGGACATACAACCGGCCAGTCAGGTTTCCTTGAGTTATCAGTCTGTCGAGTCTAGCCTTATAGAGGCAGTCGTACACGCGGACCTTCATCTTCCCTCAGTTCTTCTCGAGGGCATCCGGGATTTGACCAGTGTCGCTTGCACACCAGACAGTGTTATTATCACTTTCACCTCTCGAGACACATACGAAGCAAGTTATTCCATGTGGCCTCATTCAGATCTGCTGCTTGTCACGAATCATCTCGGCAACTGTGATGTGGAAGCTGAACGAGGATTCTACAGGGTCAGCTCTCTTGCATTCAATAATGACACCCTCACGGTGACTGCCTCGACAGACAAGACTACTCTCCAGCAGCAAGCTAGGAATGTGAATATAGCATTCGACACTCCAGTTCCCGCTAAGAGAGAGTTCTCACGCAGCATCAATCTTGACTGGTCTGGCGATCTGGTTAACACCGACGGGGTCAAGATCCATGTCGATTCCGCAAGCTTCCACTCCACGGTCCGCATCAGCGGCGTGATCGGGTACAATCTCGAGACGCACACTGCATCAACTCTCCAGCTGGACACCTCCCTCGATCTAGATGCAACGCTCGGTCTACACGCTTCTGCCGCCGGCAAATTCTCTCGCAACCTATACACGTATGTATGGAGCCCGATCTCCATGCCCGGTTTGAACATTCCCGGGATTCTGAGGATCGGCCCTGTTCTAGATATCAGTGTTGGCGCGGACTTTGCCACTACCGGTGCGGTAGAAGTCATCAGCAATAACACGGTGACGAACACTGGACTCGTGCACCTTGATCTTCTCAATGCGGCACAGAGCTCGGTATTGGGTTTCGACCCCAAGTCGACGGCGACGGGGAGTATCCTGGCCAAAGGCAGTGCGCAGTTGGATCCCTTTGTTGAGGCTGGGGTTGGCATTGGAGTGCATGTCTTCGAGGACCTGCTCGATCTATCCTCGGCTGTGAAGGCTAGGGGGGCTCTGGCGAATGCGTTCAATGTGAATACTGACGAGACTCAAGCTGGAGATGGAGCGGCCTTGCGTCCATGGCAGGAGGTGTGTGAATATGGCTATTGGTACACATGTGGTCTGATCTTCGACGTGATCGGGTTCGTGACGCAGTTTTACTCGTTGGATCTCTACCACGCTGAGGTTCCGGTCTACAATTCCTCCTGTATCCACTTCTAGACTACTGCTAGGAAAGAGAATTGATCAGCACCTGCGGATGTGAGGTATCTTCATACTCTCTTTGGTGCGTCATTACAAATTCGCAAGTCCATATAAAACTCGTAATTCATTAGCTCAGCGCAAAGGTTCTAGCTACGCCCCTGAGGATACCATATCCGGCTTCTGATCACCCTTCGGTCCACGAAACAAACCTCCTAGCATCCGACCAGCTGTAAAAAACGAGGATAACTCAGGATTCTCATGCCCCGACCCTTCTCGTTTCCGAAATCGCCCCCCACAGCTAGGCACGATCATGGCCACGACCTGCGCCAGAAACAACCAAACGGCAACCATATCCGTGTCCGACTCAATATGGTTCCTGGCAATAATCAACTCGGTCCACATCACCAGCGGCCATGCAAAGAACATCATCACTAGCGCCCCCGCCGGGATGGCAGCGTACTTGTACCACCATTTGATCTTCCTCTCCCAATGCAGCGTGATCGCACTGATACACATCGACAAGCCCCACAGAGTCGCAGAGAACGCGATGATCGAGTCGCCAATCTGCCACACCATGATGAACTTGCGCCAGCCCGGCGAGAGCGTCCGCCACCCGAAGAAGAAGAACTGGTAGCTCCCGTCGCCCTCGGGCAGATTTGTCTTCCAGCTGGTCCAGGCCGAGCAGGTGTTGAGGGCCAGCACGCCTGCGGTGCCGGCGCACTGCAGCAGGCCCATGTAGATGTCCCCCGAGGTGACGCCGCCGAGGTAGGTGAGAGCGTAGACGACGTTGAAGTGCACGGGGAGGAGGGAGAGGGCGTGGAGCTCTCTGTCGCGCACGGCTTTGTACCATGCGATCTGTGTGTAGTAGTTGTAGGCGAGGAAGCCGAGATTGCTGGGGCAGTTGCTGCCGATGCCGGAGAGGAACTGTGCTGGGGCCAGCATCAAGCTGGTGTAGAGGAGGCAGCGGTTGGTGAGGCTGAAGCCTTCTACCACCTGGTTCACGGACATTGCTCCGACGTGCTAGGTTCAGCGGTACTGGCAATCGAGCGATTTGAAGCACCGCGTATTGAGGGACCGATAATGATTGACATAGGAGAGGGTGGAAGTCCCACTCTCCTGCCCGTCCATATATTCAAGCCCTGACTGCGCGAGGCTGGAGATCATATCAAAGTTTACGCTCGTATTTGGTCAGCCTCGCCGGCTCCGGTAACTCTCTCCAATCTACATACTGATAAGGTTGCGGGACTGTCAATACGAGGTCTATCGTGACATCTCAGCCAGTCGCTTCGTTTGACGGGTCGGTGCACGCGTGCCTGATGAAAATGCACAACATCAGTCGGCCTTGGGCTGAGTTGAAGGCCAAGTAGGATTAAATCATGTCCCGCTTTCTGCTTGTCTTATCGCCCACTGCTGACACTAAGTCAGGTCCAAGGGATATGGAAAGTTGCACCTGTAGATCATGGGTTCAGGGAATCGCGATTTGGCTCGGGTCAGCGAAAGGGAGCCCTAAGGCTCAATCCGGTTAATCTATCCATTACGGGGTAATTAGATCGGTCACAGCATGTTGCGTTCCACATGCTTGAATGAGTGGCTCGAAAACATTCGGGACATACTACAGTCACAGCGGTTTGGGTGTACTGGTGTGACGTTAGGTTGAATAGTCTGCTACTGTAGACCAAATGATTATTCTATTTGAATAGATTCTATTGGGCATCATGAATTACCCGACACGCTGGCGAAGACAGTAGTCGCTTAGGTGTATGTCGCCAAAGCAGATATATATATATATATATATATTTGTGGAGATAGTCTGGGGAATCCTGCCCACAGCGAACAGGTGAATCAGACATGGCTGACAAGGACTATGTCCACGTACCCGAAGATACCAACTCGTCATCTTTGAGCCTCTCCCCCATAGTCCATACCATACTCTACTTAACTCTATTCCAACCATCTGGATTGTGAGGCAGAGAATGATGTCTGTGGCACAGGAGTCAGGTGACCCTCAGGTGACGACCCCTTGCTGAGAGGAGTCAGCAGATTACTGCCTGAGGGCTAAGGCTGCACACAGCAACGGATCAAGGCAGCAAGGCATGGAACCGGTGACGTCAGAGCGGGGAATTCATTCTCCGGCACATGACCAGCCCTAACCCTGAGAATGCTGACTGATGAGAAAGACGTCAGTAGTCAAATCAATTGTGGAAATTATGAAGTGGCTCAGACGGCGGGAGGAAATGAAAGGAAATGGAATGAATCGACAGAGACGGACTATTTAGATACGGCTTACGGAGAGTAAGACCGCTGGGGAATCTGGACTCTGGAGAATGGAGTGAAACATACCCCTGAACAACCAGAATGTTCTTAATTCCCCCCAAGTCGTTACAAAATTACAAGAGAGAGAGAGAGAATGCCAAATGGTCGACGAGATTGACAGCCACCGACAGCCAGTCAGCCACCAAATAGGTCATTGGAAAGCTTGGTGCCGAACCAGACAGTCAGCGTAACGCCACTGACGAGATTTTTTTCGGCTCGGTTGCTGGTGAAGGAACCTGGAGAGTTGAGTTTGAGCACTCAGCAGAATTGAGCATCCCGAGACCGCTGGTTTGCTCGGCTTCGCTTGGGTTCACCAGTAATCACATCACTACTACTACTACTATGCTTGCCTTAACAGTAGTTAAGAGTCAATAATTTATACTTTAGCCCAGGAGAAATACCGGGCTGATCCCCTGAGATGATTTCGTCACTGACCAGCAGGCAGCAGTAGTCCCTCAACCTGTAGACTACTAGACTCACTATCTAACATCGTAGATTCGTAGTCGATCTCCGCATTTCCCCTTGGTTTCTGCTCCCCGGATGAGAGCCCAAAAGCCTCACCGGTGGACAACTGATAGTGATCAGGAATCGCCACATTCCTTCTCCAGGGCCCCGGTTCTCTCTGTCAGCAATTACAATTAGATAGAGGATCCTTTGGTGAGTGGACGGAGTTGAACCATCTCCAGCTGGGGGATCCGTTCCCTTCCGGGCTCAGCAGAAAATCTCTGTTTAATTCTAGTGAGTCTGGATTCTGGACCGTGGACTCGGGAATGCTTTCATATGGGGAGGGGGCCCGAGCAATCACTGCTTTATTTTTCTGTATCATTATCTCTACAGATGTTGTACTACGTTCTTGTTGCAGGAATGGCAGATGACCACCATTATTTGTCAGAAGGAAGATGCAAGGCGTGCAGTGGGCGGCCCCGGATACATTATACAACCATATGCAGTAATGCACAGCGCGCATTCTCAGTGAAGGGTAATCAGACCGGCTTAGTCGATGCCGATGATCTCGTGGATCCCGAAGTTTTACCTGTCCTCGCTTGCGGACTGGCCAGTCATAGAACGGGTTCCGGATCTCGGAGCCTGTAGGATGCCCGGGTTTCGGCAATTATGGAGTTATCCAGACACTGAAGTGTAATCAATAATGATTGTAAATGGGTTGTAAATGCACTTTTCCCCGTGGCCATCGTCATCTCCCCCACATTTCCTCTCCTCGTGTGGCCGTGCCTGATTGTTTCTTGTGCATGTGGATCTGTTTCCCTCTGATTTTTCTTTCCATGCCCTCTGTTCAGGTCAGACTGGATGTCTACTTCCTCGACATAAATATCCTGCTCCCTGTCCCCCTCTGATCGTTTCCTCTTTTCTCCTGAGTCCTGTCTATCCCCTCTCTCGCCTACTGGGTCCTCTCACCACTACTTTATACCCTTTGACCCACTTGTTTCTCACCCTTTCTCTTTACCTTACAACCGCAGAGATACTACCAAGAGAAGCAACAAACAACCATGGGTGTTGAAGCCGAAACCCATCATGGGGAGTCCATCACTCCGGCTCCCCATGCCCAATACTCCAGCTCCGACTCCGTGGCTGCTCAGAAGTATCTCGAGGGCACTGTCGATACCCCAATCCCCCGCATCACCCTGCGGTCCGCTAGCATGGGGCTTTTCGTCTCCATGGGTGGTCTGCTCTTCGGCTACGATACCGGCCAGATCTCCGGTTTCCAGGAGATGAGCAACTACCTGGAGCGATATGGTGAATACATCGATGGGAAATGGGCCTTTACCCACGTCCGCTCGGGTCTCATTGTCGGTCTGCTCTCCATCGGTACCCTCATCGGGGCCCTCGTCGCCGCTCCCATTGCCGACAAGCTGGGCCGGAAATGGTCCATCTCCCTCTGGAACATCGTTCTCATCGTCGGTATCATCGTCCAGATCACCTCTCCCGACCGCCACTGGTGGCAGATGGTCGTGGGCCGTTGGGTCACTGGTCTGGGCGTCGGTGGCTGCTCGCTCCTTGTCCCCATGTACCAGGGTGAGAGCGCTCCCCGCCACATCCGCGGTGCCATGATCAGTTGCTACCAGCTCTTCGTCACTCTCGGTATCTTCCTTGCCTACCTCATCAACCTGGGTACCGAATCCCTGGACGGCCCTGCCCAATGGCGCATCACCCTCGGCCTGACCTTCCTGTTCTCTCTGGTCCTGGGCGGCGGTATGGCCTGCTTCCCCGAATCCCCCCGTTTCGAGTTCCGCCACGGCAAGATTGACAGCGCCCGCCACACCATGTCGAAGCTCTACGGTATCCCCGAGAATCACCGCGTCATCGTCCAGGAACTGCAGGAGATCCAGAAGCAGCTCGACGCCGAAACTCAGAGCCAGGTCTGGCATGAGTTCCTTACTGCCCCGCGCATGTTCTATCGTGTCGTCCTGGGTATGCTCCTGCAGTGCCTGCAGCAGCTAACCGGTGCCAACTACTTCTTCTACTACGTGAGTCTTCCTCATCCCAACCCCGATCGTTCCCTACTAACAGGGTCACTAGGGAACCACCATTTTCCAGGGTGCCGGTATCTCCAACAGCTTCATCACACAGGTCATCCTCGGCGCCATCAACTTCGCCACTACTTTTGGCGGTCTGTACGTGGTTGAGAACTTTGGTCGTCGCAAGTCGCTCATCGTCGGCGCTGGCTTCATGTTCTGCATGTTCATGATTTTCGCCTCGATCGGTCACTTCATGCTCGACGTCGCGCATCCCGAGAACACCCCGGACGTGGGCAAGGGTATGATCGTGCTGGCCTCGTTCTTCGTCAGGTAAGCTCAAACTGTCTCCATCACTCCATAACTCAAGACCCACCACTAACCCGTCTTGCAGTGCTTTCGCTATGACCTGGGGTCCCATGGTCTGGACCATCGTCGCCGAGCTGTATCCCACCAAGTACCGTGCCAAGGGTATGGCGCTGGCCACCGCGTCCAACTGGCTCTGGAACTTCCTGCTCAGCTTCTTCACCCCCTTCATCACCGGCGCTATCGACTTTGCCTACGGTTACGTCTTCGCCGGCTGTCTGCTTGTCGCTGCCTTCGTCGTCTACTTCTGCGTTGTCGAGGGCAAGGGCCGCACCCTGGAGGAGATTGACTGGATGTATGTCAACAACGTTGCTCCCTGGAAGAGCAGCAAGTACGAGATCCCGGTGAATGACTGGGAGGAGTCCTCGCGCGCCCGCAAGGAGAGCCAGTCGTACCATGCGGAGAATGCGTAAACGCCCTCCTGTCTGGTTTGTAAGATTGGGAAACTGGTGCTTGGAGTTGGATTTGGGTTTTGGTTTCCGGTGTTATTTATCCCGGGTGCATATGATAAGATGATTGAATTAGCATTGCATATATATTTGTTTACATAGATGATATGATTTATCTGAATGAACCGGTTTCATCAAATATGTGCAATTATGTGTTTCAACCTTGGTTTGCGACTGTTGGATTTGTATCTAGCAGGCAGTCCTTGCCTTGACCACCAATTATAGCTGACACTGGATGTCAGGCTTGACTGGGGACTGAGCATTGTATCCCATAGAAGATACTGCGAATGACGCAGACAACTACCAAGGAGTGAAAACTCCCTTCTCGAGATCTCATGCGCACCACCCATGTCAAAGATCGACTGCCGTCTTCCCCAATGCAGGGCTTTAGCTTACCCTATTTCTGTGCCTGACTACGAGAGTTCAACCCTAGTGTTCCTGGCATCGTCATCTCACAAGTCCTTCTTCTCTTCCGTCCAATAGCCAGCGAATGCCGCGTCAGTGAGGTTTGGGCACAATTTGCCCTGGCCGCGCCGAGACGGGCTGTCTCGTATTCGAGCAATTGTGCCCCTCGACGGTTGGGATGTCGGTTTGAATCCATCCAACCAATTCGCCTGGTCGTATGCAATGTCCTCGACTGTCACATATCATAGTCTTGAGTCCTCGTATTCGAGGCGGTTCATTTAACCATTGCATTGCATTGCATCTATGGGACGGTGACCACCCAGTGTATATAATGGGGATGCTGTCCATGTCTGCCTTGCCAAACTAAATCCTGTTAATCGCAAGTCAGTCGTTATTTTCACCCAAAACCTCCATCACTCAAGCACTCACCATGTACAAGTTCATCACTCTTTCTCTCGCCACCCTGGCGCTCGGATCCACGCTGAGCCCGGCCCTTGTCGGCCGCCAGCTCTCCACCTGCGAGTCGCATACCGGCTACAAGACCTGCGGTAGTCGCTGTATCCCCACTACCTACTCCTGCTGTGCCGGCCTGAGCGCAGGCTGTCCCCCTGGAGAGTACTGCTCCGGCAATGGCTGCTGCCCTGTCGGCGAGATCTGCTCTGGCGGCGGCGGCGTGGACGTCGGCACCTTGACGGATACCTACACCACCACCAACACGCTCACCAATGTCCATACGCACACTGCTACCGCGACTGCTACGGAAAATGAGGAGAGACCTTCTACCTCGACCGATACTGAGGCCGAAACCCCAACATCCATCTCGTCTCACCCCGTTATCCCTACCAACACCGCCGTTCCTCCCACCTCGACCCCGACCCCGACCCCGACCCCCAGCGCAACTCCCTCGCCCTCAGCCCCGGGCAAGACTAGCTCCACGGCGTCGCCCTCATTGCCCCTCTTCACCGGTGCTGCCTCGAACGTGAGAGCTGGATTTGGCGCGGTTGCTGGCTTGATCGCAGGAGCTGCTTTGCTTTAGAGAAATCCACTGGTGCTCTCGACTACCACTGATATTTGCCGTTCTGCCTCATACCGCCCATTAGTGTGTCTAAAATGATTGTAACCACCCTTGGGCGCTGATGAATCCAGTTCCAACTCTGTTAAACCATATCATGTCCTCTAGAACATTGGATTTCTTCTTCGTAGAATAATGAACGCTGAGATAACACTCCGTCAGAACGCCCAGGATGGCTTCGATGAGTACGGCCGTGAGGAGAGCTTTGGGTGTCGGTATCCCCGTCTCCATTGTTTTGCTGAAATTTAAAAGATGATGAGCGGGAGAGATTGGTTGTGTCGGTGCCAAGGACGTGGTGTCTCAACTCAAGAGGCTGAGTTCCAGTACTAGCTGAGAGTCTTGCCGTAGAGCTTGGGTCGGCAGTTAAGAGCCTATGAATCATTGGTGATTACATCGCGGACGCGCGCAGCGCTGTTTCTTGATACCATTGGATGGTTGAGTGGTTGTAGCGGCCGGGTCGATCCATGCAATGATGGGAATGAAGTATCTCTATGGAGAGCATCAAGACGCGTGAGGCGCACGAGTAAGGTCCAGGCCAGCAGATCATGGATAGGAGATGAGTTTCTGACTTGTAGTGTACTTCGTCAGGCTGAGTGAGAATATGTATGAACTCATAATTCTCCATGGCTAGCATACATGAGCGACAATTATCCCAGGAATGAGAACGAACGAGAATATTTCTCGACAATGTGTTCAACGAAATGTACTCAGGAAAACCCCCCATCACTAATCCCTTAACCCCGAACCCAAAATCTTCCTCCATATTAAGTAACCCTGCTACAACCGATATCTACTTTCCCCCAGTACCAGCACCGTATTCGGGATCCTCGCCCTGGCTCCTACAAGAACAAGAGTCAGCACCACCATCCATCCATCCTTCCACCCACCACACACACAAGAACTTACTTGAGCCGACGATCCCACAGACTCGTCAGATCACCAACGGGCAGACGCACAGGGAACCCAACCGAGTCGAACAGTTGTGCGATGAGAAGGTAAAACCCGAGCAAGCTGGCGAGGAACAATGCCGCGCCGGCGCCCTATGTATCAATCCATGTCAGCGTCCATTCCTGTTCAAGAGACTCATTTCCGCCGACGTACCACGACCATTCGATTTCCGGCGGTTGCGTCCGCGACGCCGAGACGCCAGTATGCGCCGGAGAGAAGCACGAAGACAATGATGAGGGTGGCGAAGATCACGACGTAGACGACGTTGGTTCGCGTGGCACAGATCATGAAGATGACCATTAGCACCGCCATGGATATGAACAGGAAGGCTGGTTCTGTTAGTGATGACTGCGCTTCGAAGGTGAGGCTAAGGACGGACCGTATGTGTTTAGGAACCCGGGGGCCGCGAGTCCTGCTACCGTGTCTGTCGTTGAGGCCGAGTATGGAGCTATGCGATGTCAGTGTGGTGTGCTATTGTTGGATAGAAGGGGCGCACCAACCAGCAGCATTGAAAGCGGGAAGCATAGTAGAACCAAACGCGAACCAGAATGCACCTTGCACCTGTCAGTATGTATCCGTCTTCTAGAGTATTATCCAGACTCACCGATCGTGCCAAACACCACGCAGGGAAAGGTATTGCCAAGGATGAACTCGAGGATGCTAGTGAGGACGAGCAGGCCGCCGCCGAGGAAGATAATCGGTCCACTAGAGCAGTCTTGAAGTCAGATACTGTCGTGGATGGCAGTGGGACACCTACGTGAATGCGATTCCAGCTCCGCTAGCTCCAGCCCAGCCCATCAAGCAGCACGACACGGGCGTTGTGGTGATCACAAAGCCACCCAATGCACTGCGCAGCTGTTAGAGAAATAGCCCATGTTAGATGACAGTTTCATTTCATCGTGATCTTACAGGGGTGTTGGATTCCCCATCTGCTTGGAGAGCGCACCCTGGCGCTGCGTCAGGGGGCTCAGGTAGAGCTTCTCAAACTGCTCAGCAGATAGGGTGACGGAGGTAGGAACGGGCGTTAGGGAATGCATAGCTGCTTTATCACGGATGATACTTTCTTCGTGGCTCTGGAGACTGACTTCGCCGCTCATCTTCACGGTGCAAACAGTAGTAAATGGGATGATCCAAGGGAGACAGGAAAATGGTTCAGTAAGCGAGGATGGAAATCCGGGGTAGTGGGGAGGCCCAGTCTTATATCCTCTCCTGCGTATCCTACGTGTCCACTCTTTGCTGTCCAGACCATCTGCTTCGACGAGCTACCAGGTGAGACCCCCCCCTGAATCCCCGGCCAAGCGGAGAGGCAGATCCTCTACGAATATAATTTCCTAATCCGGCTGGATCCGGGGAAGCGGAGTGGCAGCCAAAGTCTAAACTCACCGATACTGGACAGTGGCTGGCCACCCGGTGATTTGATTCGATCAGCCTGGCTTAACCAAGGACTAGATCTCTAGCGCCTGGGGCGTTTCCAAAGTGGAAGTACCTAGTAGGCCCAGTTGTTGAGTGTTGAGATATGGGGGAAACCCCGGGGTATCACGAGATGAGTTTGTGATCTAGAACTGGGAGGGATCGATGCAAGGCGCTGATCTGGCGGGCCAGTTCATCCTTGCATACTACGTATGATATACCACATGCTATCTGTTTTCGAATAAATATGACCCGTTCCTCAACGGTAGGGGTGAAATCCGACCACGCAAGCTCGGAACCGGCAAGTCAATTCCGAAGTCTTACACTGTTTCGTGCACGAGAAGCATTATTGAGATGTATACAGAGGAAATTCTCACACTAGACGTTATTTGAAAGAAATGGTATTCAGCGTATTTACAGAACAACCGCAAACTATGACGGATAAACTCGTAGACATAATCATCACAGCCACCGATCCCTACTTCTCTACGCGGCATCATCCTGGATCTTGATGTGTACGGTCTTGACCTGAGAGTAGTTCTCCAGGGCATACGAGCCCAGCTCGCGGCCCAGACCGGACTCCTTGAAGCCGCCGAAGGGCATCTGAGTGAGGAAGGTGTTGTAGTTGTTGACCCAGACGGTTCTACACTCATTAGCACGAAATCACAGATATCTCGACAAGGGGAATTATAGACATACCCAGCCCGAACAGCGTTGGATACCCGAATAGCGGTGTTAAGGTTGGTGGTGTGAACAGCGGCCGCCAGACCTGGACCAAAGTCAGCAAGAAGCCAGTTGAACTCGATGCATTTGCAGACTTACCGTAGTTGGTGTTGTTCGCGATCTCAATGGCCTCCTCTTCCGAGCTGAACTTCTGCACCGTGCAGACGGGGCCGAAGATCTCCTCCTTGACGATCGTCATGTCGTCGTGCACATCCGCGAAGACGGTGGGCTGCACATAGTATCCCTGCTCACCATGGCGAGCGCCACCAGTCACCACGCGAGCACCCTCCTTCTTTCCGGTCTCAATGTACCCCAGAATCCGCTCGAACTGCAGCAGCGACACCTGGGGACCCTGGAAGGTCTCTGGGTGGAAGGGGTCGCCGACGTGGTGCTCGTTGGCGCGCTGGTGGAACAGTTCCAGGAACTTGTCATAGATGCTCTCGTGCACCAGGATACGCGATCCGGCCGCGCAGCACTGGCCGTGGTTGAAGTAGATACCGATGCTGGCCCAGCGGATCGCGTCTTCCAGGTCTGCGTCGGGGAAGATGATGTTGGGCGACTTACCGCCCAGCTCAAGCGTGACCTTCTTGAGGTTACTCTTCGCCGCGGCCTGGAGGATCTGGCGGCCCACGGGCGTGGAGCCAGTGAAGGCGACCTTGTCGATGTCCATGTGCGCGGAGATAGCAGCACCGGCGACGCGGCCGAAACCAGAGATGATGTTCAGGACACCGGGGGGGAAACCGGCCTCCTTGACGAGCTTGGCGACGTACAGGGCGGAAAGGGGTGTCTGCTCAGCGGTCTTCATGACGATGGTGTTACCCGTGGCAAGAGCAGGGCCGATCTTCCACGCAAACATGAGCAGAGGGAAGTTCCAGGGGATGATCTGACCGCACACGCCGATGGGTTCGTGGCGGGTGTAGGTCAGGCTGCCGTGATCGGTATCGATTGTCTGGCCAACAATTTTATCGGCCCAGCCACCATAGTACCGGATGCAGTTGGCAGCAAGCACCAGATCAACCGTCTTGGCGATGTTCACGGACTTGCCGTTGTCCAAGGCCTCGATGGCCGCAACAGTATCGGCGTCGCGCTCCAACAGGTCGGCCAGGCGGGTCAGCATGCGGCCACGATCCAAGGGTGTAATGCGTCTCCATTCTCCATTGAAGGCTTTGCGGGCGGCCTTGACAGCGATATCAACGTCTTTCTCGGTGGCTTCGTGGACAGCGACGATGGGCTTCTCATCGTGGGGGTTGATGGTTTCGAAGGTCTTGCCTTCTACACCAGGGACGAATTCATTGTCGATGAACCTAGGCAGCCAGTTCTGTCAGAGCTGTTTCAAAGCGGGGATATTGGGAAGCAAGTGACATACAGGCCCAGAGGCTGCTCGTATGTGATAGTGGGAGTCTTAATGGTTTGGAAGAGAGCCATGTTGTGTGAGTGGAGAGCGAAATGGATGCTTGAAGCAAAGGAGGTGTAGGACGAAGGAGGATAATAAGAAGAAGAGTAAGACTGCAGATGAGGGGTTGTACTTTGGCTCCCTGCGAGTTCTTATAGCTGCAGCCTGCAGCATCCCCACGTCCAAACGCCGGACAAAGGGACGACAGCAACGATGGTGACGAATTAGGTGGGATGCATGAGTCTTCTTCCCCCTTCTCCCCCGGGGCTCCGCATTCTCCCATGTCAAGAGACTCAAGACTCAAGAGTCAAGACTCATCGTTCCTGATGGACGAGTTGAGGTTCCTCCCGCATCCCCAGATCCCCACGAATGGCCCAAACCGGTAATTTCTCCAGATATCGTAGCATGGCTGAGCACTGCCGCTCCACTGGAACTTTCGTCCATTCCATTTTCTGCTCAAGCCATGCATCAAGTGACCGAATCGTGGCATAGTTATTGGCTACATCTATGTTGCACAGCATCGCCATGGAGCTCGCCAACCCACCAGTCGGACACTCGGACTTGCGTAAAGCGTATCCAGACTCCGTAGTCCGTGGAGGCAAATCCAAGCTAAGCATGCATCACATTACGGTCATCGACGAGTGAGAGTATTCCAGCGCACTGCACTAAGCTCAAATCGGAGCCGCACAGCGGATCCGCATTGGCAACCTCCTCAGCGGTTCCGCTGCGGGGTTCACCAGAGATGCGAATTCGGCTTTGAGTTCGAGTTGAAGAGGAGGGGTGTTAGCTCCCGGTCACTAGTCAATGAACTTAGTCGATGGCTGTTAGCACTGAGGAATTTGGATAGTTAGAGTTTATGGGGTAGAATGGATCCATCATGCCCTTCCTGTCGTTGTTGGGGGATTGATGCTTTCTGTCAGCGCCAACATTCCTGCCCTAAAGTTGTGCAACGAACTTAATGACTTCTCTTACCTGATTCCATAGTGTTCCTGCATTCCTAGATACATATTTCCGTCGCAGAGACATGATCGGAATTTCTGATAAGGTTGAGGAGTTACATTAGATGCGCCCAAGATTATGCTGGTTGAGCTTATTTCGGCTACAGCGACCAGGTCTGAAGTCTCAGTCAGAGAGATGTAGCACACAATCTAGGATAGAGAACGTGAAGACATGTGTTCCAGCACCTTGCAGAATCTTCGCTGATCACTCGAGGAGGTATGTGTGAACCTTCCAGTTGAAGGGTTGGCTTCACCACCAAGATAGATATATCCTTTGATTACAGGGAAGGATGTCAAGACCCCATCCTATTCATGGGATAGACATCCCAGAGAAGATGATCGAGACAGGGGATTGGTATCTAGCAGGAGCAAAATCGGTAGCGTAATACTCAGGCAAATATATTCAGAACGGACCGTGCTGGTCTCGCAAACTATGTACATTGATCGGAATCTCATCCACATGAATCTTCTGCTCATCTTCCAATCCAAGCACCTATTCCAGATAGCGCGCTTATTGGGGCATCTCGAGGACGTAGCGACCGGCAATCTTGCCTTGTTCTGTAGCACACGTTAGCATAGATCCCAAAAGAAATAGTGGACGGAGGGAGACGAACCCATGAGATCGAAGATCTGAGGAAGATCCTTCAGAGGGGCAACCTTGAAGGGAGCCTTGATCAGGCCGCGGGCAAAGAAGTCGATGGCCTCAACACCGTCCTGGCGGTTACCGACGTAGCTGCCCTTGATGTTGATCATGCGCACCACGGTGTTGAAGACAGGAGCGCGCAGGAACGCATTGGCGGGGAGACCGATGGCAACGACGGTACCGCGCGAGCGAACATACTCGGTCGCCTGCTGGAAGGGCTTCTCGGAGACGGCCAGCAGAATGACCGCGTGGGCACCCAGACCCTCAGGGGTGGCCGCCTTGACGTCGGCAACCAGATCCTGCGACTGGGTGAAGTCGACGTAGGCCTCTGCGCCAAGCGACTCGCACATGGCGCGCTTCTCCTCGCCACCGTCAATGGCGATGACCCGCAGGCCCATGGCGCGCGCATACTGCTGCGCCAGGGAGCCCAGGCCACCACCGGCACCCACAATCGCCACTGTCTGGCCGGGCCGGGCGCCGGACTCCTTCAGACCCTTGTACACGGTGATACCAGCGCAGAGCACGGGAGCGACCGCATCGAGGGGCACATGCTTGGGGATCTTGGAGGCATGGGTGGCCTTGGCAATGGCGTACTGCTGGAAGGTACCGTCGACAGTGTAACCCGAAAGCAGGGCGTGCGGGCACAGAGGGTCCTCAGCCTGCTTGCAGAACTCGCAGGCAAGGCAGGAGCCGTTCAGCCACTTGACACCCGCGTGGTCGCCGAGTTCGAACTCAGTGACCAGATCACCCTTGGCGACGACCACACCGGCACCCTCGTGGCCACCCACCAGGGGCATCTTGACGGGGAGGGGCCAGTGGCCATGCATGGCGTGGAGATCGGTGTGGCACACACCCGAATAGCGGATGTTGACCAGGATTTCATCGGGACCGGGCTTAGCGACAGGGATCTGCTTGTAGACCAGGGGGCCACCGACCTGCTCGGCGACCTGGGCCCATTGCATCTCGGGGACGGACATGTTGGCTGGAGTGGAGATTGAAATGAGGAACTTGGAGAAAGATGGAGATTGAGATTGGATCGTGAGTGGCTTGAGGAGGACTGGTTTGAGGAGTGTGATGATGAGAGTGAGTTAAAGTCGAGTACCTTGAGGGTTCTTATAGAACTGTTGCAAGGGATGATCGTTGAGCTCGCTGAGCATACACCCCGCCATCTTATCGCGTCGAAACACCTCAAGTCTCGAGCATCAAGAGGGGCAATGCTGGACAACAGTGCCAGTGGGGTAGTCCAAGACCATCCCGACGAATCCCCGTCCGTGGCGTCACACCAGTCTGGCAGGGTAGTGCAGTTCTGGGAATACCATCATGGTCCTATACGGCCACAGTCCACACCGGCCCTCAGCTTTGGGAAACCCCAGATTCCCCGCGATCAAGAACCCGACCCCATGGGGCATCGAACTGAGTTTGACCGATCCGAGTCCAGTATCCATTCATAGATGATCACGGAGGAGGTGAATTTCCCAAAGCAGTTCCCTCCAGCCGAGCCCTCGAGCTAGATAATTCGGAGCCGGGGTTCAAAACGACTAATGCATCTCTGCCAACGACACTACTGACTTGGCGCGTTCAAATAGTGGGGGATTCCCGACACGTCAGCTGTCAATGGCCCCAAGAAAAGCCCTCGTAATGATTTCAACCAGCTAGCTAGTCATCGACTGCCATTGAATTTTATGAAAACGTAGTCCGATCTCCAAAGCTGGAGATAGAGTTTCAAACTCCATACGTCCGACGTCAACCTCAAGGACATGTCCTCCCACTCTGAGGTTCCCACTTGCGGCTTCCTGTCAACTTGAGCTTAAAGTTAACTTTGACCCAGTTCTTGGTCTCCCGTCCTTGACAGCCTTTACAGTTTACTAGGGCGGGGTTATGCTGCGTGCGGAACCGCATACAGTCTCTGTGGCTGGTCCAGACTCCATTCCCACGGTCTATTCATAGAGCCAAACAGCTAGAATGCCTCGAATCCTGGCCGTCTCACCTGGTCACGGCCCACTGATTGGCGGAAGACTAGCTCTCCATGCCATGATGGCTTAGGAGGAATGATGGTGCATACTTTTGCGGAGCCGCTCGCGTTCAGCGTGACAGGATTTGCAATCTTGACCCTCTTGTCTCGATTACCAACCACCTTCGATTGGTTTCTGTAGTCTATGGATGCCGTGCGGAACCGCTCAGAGACAACTAGCTCTGGTTTATGCATGGAGATCTCGCCCAGAGTTCGAGAGAGATCATCTGGATCTTTCCTTGCCAGGAGAAAGTAAGATTAATCTTACACCAGATCCTTGGCTTGGCTGGCTCATGCTGCTGCCTGCCTTGTTGAGTAAGATGCTTTTTTTTTTCTTCTTTTTTTTTCTTCATTGAAAACCCATCGGCGATAGCATCCAACACAACAAGCAAAATGGACTGGTGCCTGGAAAACTGGCGATGAGGGCTCGGAGCACTGGGCCATACGAAGTCTCCTTCCCCCTATCCCAAGGATCTGATTCGTATCAAAGATAGTTCAAATAAGCTCATATATGAGGGTCTGCTGAGTTAAACCAGTTGTCGGAGCCGCTCTGTCATCTCCACATCTGCGTCTGCTCAGATCTTCCCCTTGATAGAGATTTTTGCCATCGCTATATTTGGGCTTTGATATATGTGGTTACATAACTCACGTTTGCTACCGATTCCACATTTATAATAATATCTCCTGTCTACTTGTTTGCTATTTCATCAGATACTCAAAGTTCACAAGAATATACCAGATTCATCCATAATGCCTTCAAATCAAAACAGCACGTATACCAGCAGCCTAAACGGCAAGCGAAAATCAACCACAGATGCAAAGGATCCCTCAAGGCCTCGGAGAAAGAAGGCAAGAAGAGCCTGCTCGGCCTGTCAGAAGTCTCACCAGACATGTGGTAAGTAGCTCCACCCGCCGTGTGATCCTCTCTTGCTGATCGCTCGACAGGCAATGAACGGCCGTGCGGATCATGCGTCAAGCGCGGCATGGCCGAGTCCTGTCGTGACGGCATCCGAAAGAAGCCCAAGTATCTCGAGGAAGGATCATATCGTGTCTTCACAATCCAATACGGCCTACCGTACACCAATCTCCAGTTCGCCCAGCCCATCGAACTACCTCCGTCCCGAGATATCGAGGTACAATCATCGTTGCCAAACACGCCTCCGGGGCAGGGTCTATATGCATGTCCCGATCTCAGCCCGTGGAGCATATGTGCAGAGGACCCCTTTATTGGGCAAGACCTGAACTGTGAACAATCGGAGATGGGAGATACTTGCTATATGGACTCCCCCCAGAGCGATGTGAGTGAGGAAGCGGATAAGCCGGACTCGCTTCTCGCATTTGCAATAGGGAGTGGGTGGTCCAGCACGTTTCTTCAGTCTGAGTATGGAGGCGGTCCTGTTTGATAAATGTTCTTGTATCTGTTTTGTGTCACGTTCAGCGGTATACCATATTCGTTCAATCCAATCTTAAACATTTCATTCGGCCCAGCTTTGGATGATCCCCCGAGCTGTGGGTTCGTATTCTCTCAACACCACATTGTTTCCCTCCAAGAAGGTATTGGCATGGCTAAATGCTGGTGGTGGGTCCTTCTTTGCCAGTACTACTTCTCTCCACTCCAAAGCTTCCATTTCCACCGTCGTCAGTCCCTCATAGAAGCTGCGGCAGTTATGAGCATCCGCAGTGCAGCGGTATATGTGCAAACGTAGTAGCATTCGACCAAGGGAAGCTTTGCCCTCATGCAGAAGGGGGCGATTAACCTTGACGGTAAGGGTTTTGTTCTCCTTGTCGAGAATGATTCGGTAGAGGCCGTGACTATCGCGAAGCAGATGTTGAAGCATGCCAAAATGCGCCTATAACTACGTCAGACGATCTTCGAAGGACAGTCTTTCTGTACATACTCGGCTGTGCGCTTGTCCCCATTTCTATCAATATATAAAGTATCTTTAAGGACCATCATAGTCAAGCCTGCTATGCTTACTTTAGTTGATGGGCTATAATTGTCCAGTGCACGAAGTCCATCAATTCCAAGTTGTTGATAGAGATTATAGACAACTAATGACATGAACGTCAGTATTTGGGTGTTAAGATTCTATAAAACTTACCATCATCAGGATCAATTCCAGCGTCTGCTGTACAGTCAAAAAGGGCCAGGATCTCCGGGACATCAATCAAATAAGCCCCAACAAGCTCAGCGCGACACTCATCCACCGTCGTCGCCAAATCAGCAAAAACCCCTGTCCACGTCTCCTGTGGTTGATACCAATGGACAGTTGGCCTTCTAGTCAGAGGATTCAGAGGCGGATGATCTTTGTTGAAGTTGAACTTTCCCGGAGAATCTTCATGCAGCAGCTTTCCTGTCCCGTGCCCGAGAATCTCGTGCAGCACTACCCAGATATAGTATGTTGTAAACCCTCTACTTCATTCATTTTGGCTTGCGCTCTCTCAGCAAGCTGCTCCCATAGCCCCCCGCAGCTTTGATGAAGAGCCATGGTGAAGTCAAGATGCCAATCGCCTCTGGGGATACCCGACGAAGAATCATTCGGGTGCCGTTCCATGATGCCCTATATAAACTCTTAATTTGCACTCTACAACTATTGAATTGATATTTGCACCTCGCCATGTGGTGTGCGTAGAGTTTCTGTTGGTCCGTGAGCCCCTCGAAAGCGGATGCCACCGAAAGTTGGTACACTTCGGGCTTCGACATTGCCAACAATAGTTGTGCGGAAACTCAATGGCCTATTTTCTTGTAGGAACTATTAGTGATGGGCTGATAAATTCTAGATAGAAAAGAGCGTTGTTGGGTGTTTTTGCGTATAACCCGCGTCGCAACACGTGATGAAACTGTATATAAATATCCCAGATCCATTAGCGAGACTGAAGAGGTCGATGATGCTAAATAAAGAACTACGTCCAGTGAAAAAAAACAGATCTCAAAAGAACAGCTATCAGTTCGAGCTATCGAGTTCCGTCTCTGATTATGAAATGACAACCTACAGAAACAGCTAACCTCAACCTGCTTCTAATACAATACAGGGACATGGTGCTACTCAGTCCCATTCGATTGCAGCTAGGACGCTATGAGGAAGTGCTACGCTTCGCTTCCAAAGCCCCCATCTTCCAAGCAAAGTGCTTGGGAGAACGTATGCAAGTCTGCGACTCGCTTTATCAGGGTACAGGAATCCTATACGATGGCGGAAACTTGGCTTCAACCATGTCGGTTTATATTTACATTCCTTCACTTGTGTCATGCTAATTATCTATAGCAAACTGCTTATTGAATGAATGAATGAAGATATCCGAAGCCTTTCCGAACTCAGAGGGGCAAATGCATCTGGCTCGAGGGCGCTTCACACTGTCCAGTATCTATGGAGCACAGAGGCAAACCAAGGAGACCGTCAAGTACATGAAGCGAGCGACTAGTGTTAGTCATGATATCAACGCTAGGAATGGCGTAAGCGCTGGTGGACTTTGAAAGATTGGCCCTTTGATTGTTGTGGTCACTGTGACGTGTCGCAAGACGGTGATAGCCTCTGAAGAAGTTGACAGTTGCCTGGAGCGGACGTTGGTTCTTTCCCGAAGAACACAATGGTGATACCTCCAGTGTAGGATCTATGATGTGCTGCCTAGATCGTCATGCGATCTTAAAGCAAGAGGTGAGCTCGAGGTATTCTCTTTTCCATCCTCTCCTCTCTCTCCTGCTTCTCACCACCTGCATTTCATTATCTTATCCATCCTGTCTACTCCCATTCACAACTCGAAAAGCAAAGATGAGCTCGCCGTACATCACACGAACTGTCCACTCCTTGAATCATGAGAAGACATTCAGGGAGACTGTTGACTCGGTCAGTCAAGCTGTCAGAAAGGCACTTCCATCCAACAAAGGTTACGATCGTGTCCGTGTCCTGACGATGAGGTGGGAAAATGACGACTTGGGACTTGCCGATATTGAGAGAGAACTTCTTCAAGTATTCCTGATTCACATGTGGCATTACTGGGCTGTACATTCTGGTCTGATATCACAATCGATAAGCAGGATATTGTCAGATCGAAAGTGAAAGACTTTCAACGGATTCAAAACTGGAGCGTTGACATCCATGACGCAAACCACCGAAGTGATTTGATCTGGTTGCGAGAACGAGTTCGCATGATCGATGAAGAAAGCCTACAAGATCGTCCAAAGCGCAAGATTGTCAGTGTAACACATCATGGTCTGTCTACCACCCACTGCTCGAGTCCAGACAAGTCGGGGAACCCTTGGAGTTCTGCATTTGCCACGGATCTTCTGCAGGAAGGTCAGTGGCTCGATGTTAGGGCTTGGATATTTGGGCATACACATTACACAACCGAATTTGTTGAAAACGGCGTGAAAGTTATCAGCAAGCAACCAGCGGGGATACGGTCTGCCTGGGGCAAAGCAGCGTGAGATGAAGCGGTGTGGATTTGATGAGGAGCGAGTGATACGCATTTGATATCAGATTCAATCTCACCTGCAGAACTGCCTGACCGCGAGGCTCGAGCTGCCGAATTCATGTTTATAGAGGATGCATCAGACACGACAGCCTGATCTGGCTCGGCGGCCGATTGCTCCGCCACAGTGCGGGGCGATCAACTAGGCTTCCGTTCAACTGCTTTTCCATATTTGCAAATTACAGAGCTCAAACAGCTAGAGGGGAGCTTCGACATACGAGAACGACCATCATATACAGGCAATCGATGGGCTACTGGTGTAAGTCATCGTGAAAGTGTTCGTGAATCGTGACTCACCACCCGCTTGGTGGAGCATAAAGCTGGTTGCAACACGACTCAGTCGTCATTCATCCAGAATTGGTCGAGAAAACTAGACCTGTCGGCATCAGAAAGCAAAGGTCAAGGAAGCACGAACCGAATGAGAATCTTTGGCATGCTCAGGAATCCCACAGAAAAATCACTTTGGACATTTACCAGACTACCAGGAAATCCTCGGCTACGGTGCACAAGTCAAGATGGACAATCGTGCCAGATTTGAACTTCCATACCGCCCGAAGACCGAAGCCAAGGCGTCTGTGAATGAGATCAAGCAAGCTTCGGAAGGCACTTCCAATAGTAGAGAAGCACCCAGTGCACAACAAACTCGGTATTACGGTGGGAGGGCCAGGAAAGCCCCTTCAAAGAACAATCCGGGATATATGAAAAAGCCAAGAAACAACCCACACGTCACTTCGAACCCGGGAAAATCGCCAGAGAAGATAAAAGCCCCTCCAGCCGAATGGCTAGATCTTCCTGCGCCGCTACATAATAAAGTCCTCGAGAACCTGAAACAATTATGTCATGATCCAGACACTCTCGTCCGATCGGGGTATAAAGTGCGCGAAATGACACAGGAGGACCTGGATGGGTATGCAAAGTGCGTGAATTGCGGATGTAAGGTCACTCAAGAGGATGGTGCCACAGTTTGCCCTGTTGACTTACCGCTGTAGTCCGCAAACGAGTCCTGGACACCAAGTCAAATAAAAGATGTGTCTTTCACCCTATGAAGAAGATCGTCCAGAACAAGCAATACCAGTTTCCCTGCTGTGGGAAACGACAACCCTGTTCTTCACTTCCCGCCCACGAATATGGCCCAATCCCACAATTTCAGTTGGAAAACTGGAAGGAGTATAAACTCACGCCGAAACAGACAATAGGAGCTGGTGTCCCTCGCAAGGCAGTGGCGCTTGATTGTGAGATGATCGAGGTGGAAGGTGGCTGCGCAGAGGTAGCGCAACTTTGCGCTGTCGATATTCTTACTGGTGAAGTCATTGTCGAGATCTACGTTCTCCCGACGAAACCAGTAACTGACTGGAGGACCCCTTGGAGCGGGTTGAGTCCCCGGCTGATGGAAACCATGCGAGAAGCTGGGAAGACTGTGAATGGTTGGGAAAGTGCCCGGGACGAACTCTGGCAGCAGATCGATGCGGATACTATTCTGGTTGGTCATTCGCTCCAACACGATCTCGATATTATGCGCATGGTGCATCTGAATGTCATCGACACAGCTGTTTTCTCCAAGGAGGCCGTGGCTGCCGACTGCAAGCAGACGTGGGGTCTCAAGCGACTGTGTAAACAGATGTTTGACAGGGACATCCAGCAGTCGCGGAGCGGGCACGATTGTGTCGAAGATGTCATAGCTACGAGAGAAGTGCTGCTATGGTGTGTTTGGCACCCAGACCAATTCCAAGACTGGGCCGAGTCGCAACGAGTGGAGATGAAAGAGTCCAATGCGAGTTCCAAATGGAAACAGAACGAATCGGCAAAGAATCACCAACAGCCATCGAAGGGTCCGAATCAGAACTAGCTTTGATGCTTTCTTCTCATCTGTCGCTTTATAGCCTTTCTCTATATATTCTACTCTATATAAAATGTCACCCATGAAGAATTGAAGACTCAATCACAATGTGCCTTTCTTATTGCAAGAATGATATAGGTATCTGTGGTTGGTATCACTATGAACTACTACTACTAGAACGAACCATAATATGCCTAGAGCCCTATAATTAAATAGCTCGATAGTGGTGACATGGACAAAATCAATCATCACCCTGCTGTGGAGTTGGTGTATTGAAGCATAATACTTCTCCCCAAAGAAACAATCCTAGGCTCACTCCCAGTAACGCAACTGCAAAAGCAAATACAGAAGGTCCTGGAGCAACAGACTGCCAGCTCCCAAGCAAGAACGGCGACACCAAACCTCCGAAATTCTCCATAAAGGTCAATGCTGTGATCGCCCGCGATGCATCCGGCATGAACGAAACGAAGTGGGCCTTGAAGAAAGCCGGCAGGGCTAACCCTGCTGCCGCAACCGACACAGCCAGGTACAACTGTCCAGCACTCCGTATTTGTGTGATGGCCGCGAGTGCGAGCATCTGTATGACTAGTGCCCCGAGTACGGCGGTGCTGTCTGTGAACCTGTCTGAGTTGGGTCTTAGCCGTCGCAGGCAGGGCGCGATGAACACTTTGAGTACAAGGGGCACGGTAGCGCATGCGGCGGCAGTGGATACAAGCAGGCCGTTTTGAAACGTGCCGAAATGCAGCCGGATCGAGGCAAAGACCATGACTGCGGGGAAGAGATGGGCCTGGACAGCGGTATAGAGCAGCAGGGACAGCCCATAGGGGATGGCACGGGGATGGTCGAGGAATGGTCGGAGTGGAGAGAGGAGGACACCGAGGCTTGAAAGAACCTTGGAATGTGTTTGCATCTGGGGCACAGCTTGCGCAGCTGGTACACGGACAAGGATGACCAGGTATACCAGCGCTATGCTGAAGATGGCCAAGGCTGCGGTGAAGCTCGCCGTGTAGCTCTGAAAGATGCTCACCGCAACGGGACCGACAGCTGTCCCTAGCATATACAGTCCAAGGGAAGCGGCCATGAGCTGCGAGGTTTTTTGACCAGAGGATGGCGACGTTAGAGAAACGTAGATGGTGTTGAGGTTGAAATGAAGCAGGTTGTCTGACGCGAGGCCCTCGAAAATGCGTCCTGACACTGCGATGGTGACACTACGAATGGATACTGCTGTGGTCAGCCAGCAATCTCGAGACGGTCAAGACATTGACTACCTCCGATGACAAGGCACAATACACTGGTTGCCCGGCACACGATCCAGATTAGCAGACCGGCTCGTAAATGTTTCTTGATGACTCGCTCCATCGGTCCGAGGATCATAATGGCCACCGCATGGGCGATTCCGCTGGCGATAGCGACCGCGGCTGCATAAGCGCTTTGTTCGCCATCTTTGCAGGAGGTTGGGTCCTCACAAAGGAGATTAGCATAGGCGTAAATGGTGGTGGCAGTGGTGGCAGCCATGCCGAGAGAAGCGAGGAAAGCGACAGGAAGGGTTCGATAAGCGGCATTCCGAGTATCCTGAATTGTATCACGAATCGCTTCGCTTCGTGACAGCAGTGGCTCTGTCTCGCGTTCAATCATACTGACTTAAAATGCTACCAAAATTGAAATGGGTTGAGAGTCGTGGGTTATCACTGATGAGGAATATGTTTGAAATAGCTTCGGTGGCCGAAATTGTCAGCACGGAAACCAGCCTTAAAGAGCCCGCATTTAGATGAAATGAATGCCAACATCACCGATTTACAGCTGCAGATTGCCTTCTGTATCATTGCAGCATGAAGCCCCTTTTACAACTGGAGAATGCTCTCCGGACCGTACTAGAAGTGTCCCAACAGCACGACATAGCAGAAACTCTTGCATCGCTTCGCCGAGCGGAGCCGTCATGCGACCCAAGCCTCGCTTCGACCGCGAGTCGAATCGTTGATTTGGCATCCGAGGTGGTTCAGCTGCTGGAGCCGGCTCATCTTGTGCTGGCTGATCATTTATTCGGTGCGACCAACAATCTTCCGGTGCAAGGGCGGAACTGACGCAGAATAGCCTACCAGTATACGCAGTCACTGGCCAGCGCGGTTGAGTTGCGGATCCCTGATCGTCTCAAATCGGGTCCTCAGACACTGGAGCAACTGGCGGCAGTCAGCAAGGCACGGCCGGATAGGCTGCGACAGGTCCTCCGACTGCTGTACAACCATGGCATATTTGCTTATAATCCAGCAACAGATACAGTCCGAAATAACGAAGCCTCTGAACTGTTGCAGCGGACCCATAGTGGCCAGTGGCATCGATGGGCATCTGTTTGCAGCCGCGAATTCTACGAGATGGCCCAGAGCCTTCCGCAGGCGCTGGGCGAGACAACTCTCCGTGAGCCTGCCATGGCCATCAATCATCTCTACAAGCTAATATATTATAGGCTCTCCAGCACAGATTCACCACGACACTGATGAAAGCATGTTCAGCTATCTTGAGCGCAGCGGCACCATGATCCGTCTCCGAGAATGTATGGGGGCTGCAGCCATCGCACAGACCCCCGGCATGATCTCCAGCTATCCATGGCACGAGCTGGCCAACAGCACCCTTGTGGACCTGGGCGGTGGTAATGGGTCTCTGATGGCTGCCCTGCTACGAGAGATTCCCACGCTGCAGGGCGGCATTCTGGATACACCACGAGTGCTACCATTCCTACATGAAGCCTTCCATTCTGCGTCGGGCCAGTACGCCGATGTGGGCGCGCGCATTCCACCTGAGCGACTTATCGGAGGTAACTTCTTAGAGGCCGTGATTCCAGCAGATGCGTATGTGATGCGCTGGTGTTTGCATGACTGGAACGACGACCAGGTGTGTCAAATTCTGCGTAACATCCGCCACAGCATTCTCATGGGCACTGTCGGTCGACTGATAGTCCTGGAAGCCGTGCTGGCAGACGGTCAGTCTCGACGCATGTCTCGCCTTGGGGATATCAATGTCATGATCACAGCAGAGCATGGACAGGAGCGGACGGAGAAGGAATGGAGGCGGCTGGCGGCTGCTACGGGCTGGAGGGTTGACAGTATCACGCCTCTGATAGGAGCGTGGCCCTGTGCTATTGACATGCGGCCAATGAAATGTTCTACATAGTGAGAAGCTATCACAGAAGTCTCCTTTACCAACTTCTAAAATAACATAACATAACTCATCCTAAGATAGTATCACACAACACAACTATAAGTAGTCGCCACACCAGACTCGGCACTTTTGAAAATAGCATCGACCATACGATATCGAATCACTGCCTCGTCTAAAGTCACGATATGCTGTTTCTCATCTTTCATCCAGGCCACATATTCGGCTCCAGGGGCTGTCGTACTCTCCAGATGAATCTCCTCCCAGCTGGCTGCATTCGATCCCGCTACTGTCTTCCAGAGCCGTGGCGGAATCGCATGGATCATCAAGCTCGGCCCCTCTAGCTTCAAAGACCCTTGTTCTCCCGTGATGATCCACTGGAACAGATTAGGGCTCGCAGGGGGATGCGAATACATGCACACCGAAGCCGGGATATCCGCGTCACCCAGTCGGCCGAGCAGGGAAAATGAGTCCGGCGCGTCATTGAAGCGGCCCCTCTTAGGATTTCCTTGCTCATCCTTCAGTATTGGCTTTGGGAAGTGCATGCTGGTCTGCGCGTGAAGAATGCGAAACTCGCCCAGCAGAAAAGCCATGGCGTCGAGAAGATGGCCGCCGGCAATAGTTACGATGTTGGCTCCTATGATAAATCAGCCTTTGAATTATGCCGCAGCGACTCCTCATAGTTTACCATTTGCTTTATCATGGGAGTGTCGCTTGTCAGCGTGGAATTTTAGGAACAGGTCATCGGTGACCAACATTGTAGTGGCCAGGATGCGGCCTAGCGACTCGGACTCAATAATTTCTTTCATCTGACCACCGCTCTTGTGTTAGAGCCTACAGTCAATCGGAGAACGGGCTACACACCTTCAACACATGCGGTGAGAGTCTGGTAGGCAACCCGACCATGCTCTTCACGTGTTGTTCACGGGCTCGTCGAGCCAGGGCCTCGGCCTCTTCTAGGTTCGACGCAAAGGGCCATTCAATATAGACGGCCTTACCGGCATTGATAGCAGCCATTGCCAGCTCAGCGCGTCGTGGTACCTTGACCGAGACCACCACCAGGTCAACCTCCAGGTCTGCGGCGAGGTCGCCGACACTGGCATACCCTCTTTCGCGCGGCAAGCCGTGAGCTTCTGCTGCTGCCACAGCCTTTTCAGTGGACGACATGGATAGTGCAACAATTTCATAGTGTTCTCTCAGTGGCGCAGTTGTCAATGGCAGTTTATGGATGTAGTTGGTGCAGTGGCTCGGATCTGCAGATAGACCCACGATGCCTAGATGAATTTTGTTCGACATTTGGAATAATATTCCGACAGCAGAACCTTCGCACTACTCTGAACGCAATATCTCAGGAACGGCTGGATTGCTTTACTTTGATATCAGTGTGGCAAATGTACGTGAAGGTCCGACAAGAGCCTTCGGTGACCGGGAATCGCGACTTCGGCCAACCAAGGTCTGTTTATCATACTAGGGTTGATAGATGCTGTTCATTTTTGAGTCGATGTCACCTCGATGAAACAAAAAAAAACAAAAAAAAACAAGAAGGAAATCGTTTCAAAACACCAGGATCATGACTGCATTTCGCTACGGCACGATGTTAAGCCATCTCCACAACGCTCTCACCCTCTCGTTGCAGAGCAAGTCTTCTGTCTCGGTTTGGATCAACGATGATATCCGACCGCTGCCCCCATCTCGTCGTACCTGGTCAACCCTGACTTTTATCGGCTGGTGGTCGGTTTGGCAGCTGAGTCTGACCAACTGGCAGCTGGGTGGCGCGTTGGTGGCCTCATCTTTGTCTGTCTGGCAGACCATGGTCGCTGTCATCCTAGGCAGAATCATCGCGGCGATTGTCGCGATCCTGATCGGTTACATTGGAGCCGAATGGCACATAGGATTTCCAGTCTACTCCAGGGTGATATGGGGGGTCTTTGTGAGCATTGCCGTTTCTTGATGCGGAACTCTCAGTCTGACGTGATCTAGGGCGCTTTCCTTCCCACCTTACTTCGGATCGGGCTTTCCGTTGTTGGCTTCGCGTTTCAATCCTATACCGGTGGACTATGTGTGACTGCTATCCTGGCCGCTATCTTTCCTTCCTTCTATCGGATGAAGAATAGCCTCCCCATATCAGCCCATGTCACGACCCAGCAAATCATCGGGTGGGCCATATTCAATATCATATCAATTCCAGTACTGTACCGACGACCGGAAAGAAGTGAGAGAATAATGATCGGCATGAATGCAGTCTCTTTTGCCTCTTTGTTGGGAATCATGATCTGGTCCTTGTCCCGGGCCCACGGTGCAGGAGACCTGATTCACCAGAACTCGCAGCTGCATGGTAGTGCTGCCTTGGGGTTTGGAATTATGCAGGCAGTGACCACAGTGGTAGGGACTCTTTCAATTGCCCTGAGTGAGTTTGAATGGCGCCAAGTGTCATCGGTAGGTGGCTGACTCGGAATAGCAAGTCAGATGGACTTTTCCCGATTTGCCCGGAAGCCCAGTGATCAGGTCTTTGGGCAGTGGTTCACGTTCGTCATCATAGGCTCGATTATGCCTCTCTTTGGGTGTCTCACCAGCTCTGCTACCCAGGCCATTTACGGACAAGCCCTTTGGAATCCTCCTACCATTCTCGCCATGTGGTTGGAGAGGGATTATAGCTCGACCTCTCGTGCTGCAGCATTTTTCTCTGGGCTGGGGCTTGTCACCTCGCAGCTTGCACTAAATGTCGTGGATAACGGTAGGTCTTTAAATCGAAAACCAGCACACCCAATATATAATCGTGGCATAGGCTATTCTATGGGAATGGACCTCTCTGGGCTCCTCCCAAAATACGTCAACATCCGGCGAGGATGCTTTGTTGGCCTGATACTTGCCACCGCTCTTTGCCCCTGGGAGCTCCTCGCCTCCGCCACCACTTTTGTCGGCGTAATTTCGTCCTTCTCCATCTTTATGGCACCATTCTGTGGAATTCACATCAGTGATTACTGGATCATTCGTGATCGACGTCTCAAGCTGTCAGATCTATACCACGCCCGGCCAGACGGTGTCTACTTTTATACCATGGGGATGAACTGGCGCAGCGTGTTTCCGTGGCTGGTCGGATGGGTACCCCTGCTGCCGGGATTCCTGCACAGCATTCGCCCTACTATTCACGTACCGGTGGGCGCGGATCGACTTTATGCGCTGGGGTTCCCGTACGGCCTGTTGTCGTCGTTGATCGTAAATACCCTGATCAACAAGCTTTTTCCGCCCCGTGGACTTGGAGAAATTGATCAGGAGGATGTATTTGGAACTTTTACAGCAGGGGAAGCCGCGGTGTTGGGGATCCATCAAAATGCAATGCAGGACAGTGAGATGACGCCAGAGCAGAGATCAAGCCTGGAACGACAGGAGATTGAGGGTATGAAAGCGTAGGTCTTTGACGCTGCCGAGTCTATTAAAAGCATAACCTCTCTGGTTTTCATTGTTCCATTTAGAGATGCATGTATATCAGATTTCATACGCTATAACTATGGGTTCAACTGGACAGGATGTTCAAATTTCCCGAATGAAAACACACTCTCCAAAGGAATTTCGGCAAGTCGAATGCATGAACAGCAAATAGAAAAGTTATTAGGTTGATATCTTGAATTTTCAAGTGATTACATCTTGCTTGAAATACGTGAGACAACAATATTGGGTTAGAAAAGACTGACTACTATACTATATAACTGACATCTTCACGGTTTCATCAACTAGCAGCATGATATGTCATCAATATACGAAAAAGGTTATGGACTTCCATTACCGTCAGGGACTAAGGCGGATCACATTTGACATTCTCTCAAACCAAACAGTCTGCATTTATAGCTTTCAATCTATGAAATGACTGACAGACCTGAACAGACCGATCAGTGCTATTACAACGACCAATCTGCACCACAGCATCGGCACTGAGCCTCTCCGACGACCGCCGTTCCGAAGAGGATGAGAGTCCTAGGCGTATCTCGGCTGCCGAGCTGTTTTTTCTCTTCTTTTTTTTCTTTCTTTTTTTCCCCCAAGCATGCGATTAGTTGGGTAATCCAAGAAGCCGGGGTATACCACTTATCCGACACGCGCAGTTTGGTGTATATATGCCAGTGAGCAATAGCATTACAGCTCGACTTCATGAACAACGGATCAGCATCTTCATTCTGCAAACATGATATGGCAAAACCTATTGCAAGAGTTGTGTGCGGTACTGCAGGTGAACCCTGGTGCACTCAACCTTGATGCGAGCTTCGTTCAGAACGGTGGGCATTCTCTCAGTGCAGTGGACTGGGTGGCCCGCCTCAAAAAACAGGGCATTTTTCTATCTGTTGGCCAAGTTCTTTCTTGCTCTAATTTGAATGAACTGTTTAATGGTTTGCTGCTGCCGTCAAAATCCGAATCAGATGGTCAACTACCCCCAGAATTTTCGGACAATGGCGCTATATCATCGAGCACATCGTCTCCCTGCCTTTCCACGCCGCCATCGAGCGACGTGTCCACGACCGATGAGGACAGCTCGATGACCTCTCAGTTTCTCTTATCCGATGCTCTAATAGACATGGGTAGAACCGACCCACTGAGTGAGATGCAGGCCTCCCTCTTACACGGCTCCCTCAAGAACCCAGGAACGAACATCATCCACCATTACGAGACTTACCCGACAAAGATAATTCCACGATTCAAGGAGGCGTGGAAGGCTGTCCTCGAAGCAGAACCAATTTTTCAGTCATCCACTCTTTTAATGCCAGGACAAGCGCAAGAAATATTTATGTGGACGGAACTCACTGTAGACACAGCGGCTGAGTATCAGAGACAGATGCAAGCCGTGGCTGTTCAAAGTTCCATTTCCTCCTTCACCGTGATCCATCAATGCTACGAGGGTACCAGTGATGGTCGAAGCACTATTATATGGACCGTTCACCACGCAATGGTAGACGGCTATTCCGCCATGTTATTATTTCACAAGGTCCGTCGGCTCGTTGCCGGACTGTCCATCGCCCCTGGCCCGTCGTTCTCCCAAATTGAGAAGCAAATCAACATGTGGCGGCGCACACATAAGGCCGAGGGTGACGAGTACTGGTCCAAGCAGGCGTCACTCCTTCAACAGGCTCAGGGGGATCCCCTCTTGCCAGAACCGCAGCAGGATCCCGTATCAACGACACCGACCGAGAGCGAAGAAGTCATTATCGCCAGCAACATCTCACAGACACGGCTCCAGACTGCGAGCCAGGAGCTTGGAGTAACACCAGCTATTTTCTACTATGCAGCGTGGGCGTTTGTGCTCAGTCTCTATACGGATTCAGATTCGGTGGTTTTCGGGGCGGTCATGGCTGGACGCAATCTCCCGTTACATGGGATTGACGAGGTAGTTGGACCATTGATCAACACCCTGCCTCTGTGCATCAAGCTCGATGAAAAGCAGTCAGTACGTGACTGCCTCTGGAGCCTTTTCGGTCAGGTGGTCGAATTGGCCGAGTACCAGTGGACGACTCTGGACAACGGATATTCTCGAACATTTGCCTCGGCGATGGCATTGCAAGTGCCTGAGCCAGACTTTCCGGAAGGTCCATTACCACTGGAGCCGCCATACACTCGACAGACAATGGACGTCCCACTAAGCATCAATATTATGACAAATGGAGCGGCCCGCTTCGTCTACCATACGGCTCGTTACAGCGCAGGGGATATGGCCCGGATCAGCAACTACTTTCACCGTGCCCTGCAGCTTCTCCTCCGCCCACATCAGATAGTAAAAGAGTGTCTGCAGGGGATGCTTGGCTGTGGTGATCTGGAGACCTTGATGGCATTTGGAAATTGTCATTCAGGGCTGACTACGGCCGTTGTGGTCCAGGACGACTTAGTGACGCTATTCGAATCTGCTGCGTCGCGACATCCTGCCGCCATTGCGCTTCGAAAAGGCAGTCATGAACTAGAGTATCAAGAATTAGATGCCTCTGCCAGTCGAGTGGCAGCCTCTTTACGCAATCACATTTCTGATGGTGATGTTGTCTGCCTTCACGCAGACCGTTCCATCCACTGGATTGTCGGGGTGATGGGCATCCTGAAAGCTGGCGGAATTCTTTGCGCCGTAGATGCAGCTCTTCCTCCAGAGGCGTGAGATGTCATCTTCGCTGCGTCAGGAGCTGCTGTCTTTCTAGTCCCTAGCCAAGCAGATGAGCATTTGCAGCCCTCGGCCTGTGAACATGTGCTGGTGATTGCGGAAATTCTTGAGAGCGACCAGACGCCCCTTGCCCCCCGCCGCTTGCCCCGTCCCGCCGACAACGCATATCTTTGCTTTACTTCCGGTTCAACGGGAAAGCCCAAGGGGGTGATGTGTAGACACGAAGGGCTGGTCGCATTTCAACGTGATCTCGAAGTGCGAATCTTTGCGCAACCGGGCCAGTACATTGCGCAGATCATGTCCGTTGCATTCGACGGCAGCATCCACGAGATCTTTTCGGCACTTAGCTACGGTGCCTCCCTGGTTTTGCAGAGCGGTGGAGATCCATTTGCGCATCTGCATGATGTGGACGCGGCTATTCTCACCCCATCAATGGCTCGCGTGTTGGATCCGGCAGATTTCCACCGATTGGCTACTGTGAGTCGTTCCTATACTTGGTCGTTGCTGCACAAGTATTCTGATAGATGACGCGCTGTGTTAGGTATATCTCGTCGGAGAGCCCGTGCCGACAGAGGTCGTCGATAAATGGGCCCAGCACAAAACACTCTACAACATGTACGGTCCGACGGAGGGCACCTGTGGCGCGACAATCAAGCGCCTCTTGCGGCAACAGCGAGTGACAATAGGCCCCCCAAACCCTTCGACCCGGCTATATATTATGAATCGACAGCAGGAGCTTCTCCCTCCCGGTGTCATTGGAGAAATATACATAGCTGGAGTCCAAGTTGCCCGCGAGTACATCGGAATGCCCCAACAGACCGCTGAACGATTTCTACCCGATCCGATCCGAAGAATAGGTGAGCGCATGTATCGCACCGGAGATAGGGGTTACTGGACGAGCAATGGCGAGGCCGTCTGCCTTGGTCGTTCTGACCGCCAGATCAAGCTGCGCGGCTTTCGCCTTGACCTGGACGACTTGGAAGCCCGCATGATACGAGCGGTACCAGCAGTGACAGCCGTGGCAGTCACTCGGCAGGGTGATAATCTCATTGCTGCTGTTCTGCCGGCTTCAGTTGACGTGTATGCATTTGCGGCGCGCGTGACCCAGATATTACCCCCTTATGCGACACCGCGCAAAATTGTCGCCCTTGATGATTTCCCGACCACCAAAGCGGGGAAGCGGGACTATCAGGCGCTTGCGAAAATGAGTATACGGGCTTCCGCAGCCATGGGTCGTCCGTTGCACACCCCTTTGGAGAGGACGGTGGGGAACGCCTTTCGGGAGGTCCTTCGGCTGGCCCCCGATACCAGGCTGAACACCTATTCTAGCTTCCGCGAATTGGGTGGCCACTCGCTACTACAGCTGCTTTTGGTCACCCGCCTAAGCCAGGCTGTGGGACGTCAAGTTCCCCTGCGTTTGGTAGTACAGCATGACCGCATTGAGCAGCTCGCATCAGCCATTGAGAAAGGGCCCTCTCTGCCTCAGCTCCTGGCACTGGACGCGAACACACTGGGGTATCAAAATAAATTAGAGCACAAGGCATTTCTATTTTCATCACAAAGCAGACTCACCGAGACCAATTGGATTCAATCGTTGCGACTCTTTGAGGAAGCTGTCGCATTTGCGGAGATTAGCAAGCGCGCTCGGGGTCCAGCGTCCGCCGCAGCATTCCGACACTGTTTGAATCTCCTCGCGCAAGGGCTCAATATACTCTGGATGTACCAGGAGATCGTAGAAGAAATGGATGAGCTGTACATGTTCAGTACCACGAATACGAATTCTGCGAAAGAAGACAGACTGATCTACCTGGAACGCAAGGTTATACGTAGCCGCCTGTACAGCCTCTAGCTGTAGCTGAGTGTGCAGGACTACGTCGTCCTTTTGATCGGGATAGTGGTCGATAATCCACTGCATCAGATCGCCATGCTCAACTTCTTCTTCTTCTAGGCGCGACGCTAAAATAGGCTTAACCAACGCCGTTGCTCGTTGGAACTGCCGGCTCATCTCTCGCCTTTCGGGAAGGATAAGGCCGCGAAGCGGCCGCAGGCTCCAGTGAGTGTTCGACATCTTAGCGGCCACTGTGACTGTGGAGATGGTGTAACCAAGCGTGAGGTCTATCTGTGAGTTGGGTTAGTTTGCGGAGCATGTCAACGCAGTCGGTCATATACTAACCCATGCCTGGTCCCTAGAAAGAGGCGGACTGATGAAAGAGCGGCTGATATGCAGAGACACAAGTTTGACCAGCGTCGGAAACAGTGAGAACGATTTCCAATCTGCCCATTCGTTAGCATTGTTAAGTGCGACCATTATGCGATACAGATATACGCGGTATCTGGCCCAGTTGCGAAGAGACGGTCCACTCGGCGTCCGCTTGAAGCAGCGCCACGCTCTTCACAGCGTTTTTGGTTAGACCGGCACGCACAAACTCGGCCAAGTGGTGGCTCTTAGGCATTCTCGTGTATCTACCCATCAGACGTTCGTAAACCTCACGGCCCAAGCTCAAGGTATGTTCCGGCGCGTAGGCAATGGTGGAGAGGTCTTTGAGCGGCACGATCACCGTTGGGATGTCGCGGGTTGGGATCTGAAAGCAAGAGTTGGGATACTTTTGACATTAGTTTTAACACACAGAAATTTTACGAGAGAGTATACCCGTTGTGCGCCTTCTTTCAAAGCAGCCATAAAATTAGGCTCATTTGGACTGCCAACGATGGGGATTGGATGCTGTCGCCGACAGAGGAGACGAACGGCCAGAACAATAGCAGCTAGAGTAGCCATATACGGCCAATATAGCGTTTTAATGTGCTCCCAAAAAGCCTCCATGGTGTACTAATGCAGTTGCTGTCCGTGATTGCAAGAACAGCGAGAAGTAGACCATTTGATAAATGATCGAGTGCGGCCCCTCGGAGACCGAGATCTTGTCTGTATCGCTAAGGATCTAAGTACAAAACGTATAAGTAACTCTCAGGACCTCGGCTTGTATGGTATCCTTATTCACAGGTGTTCATTTTGCAGTCTGATCCATAATGCTGTTTCCCGTCGAAACACTGACAATTGTCTACATGGTAAGGTCAAAAGCCTCCCTAAGTCTTGTCAAGTTACTGATGGACGCATCAGTTGGGTGTTTTTGCCCTCCTCAAGACTTTCTACAATCTCTATTTGCACCCATTACGATCCTATCCTGGTCCGTGGCTAGCACGCGCCTCCCGCTGGTACTATTCGTACTATCTCAAGAGAGGTATTCTCCCGCAAAAGACCAAGGAATGGCATGATCGCTATGGACCTTGCGTGCGAATCGCCCCAGATGAGCTATCGTACAATACGGCGGAGGCATGGGAAGATATTTGCGGTAGGATATGTATCATTTATGTTGGAATCCAGATTAATGAGTGATCAGGGCATCGGACTGGGGAGCGAACAGAAAGCTTTGAGAAAGATCTGACATTTTTTCCGCCGGCTCCGAATGGAGTAGACTCCATTGTAAGTGTGCTTTTGGATAATAGGTAACATCTAATTGACCGTTTATAGATTGTCGCTAGAGACGATGGTCAGTCGTCCCTGGTTAACTATGGCAAAAAAACTGACAATCTAGCAGTACATCGCCGCTTTCGACGACTGCTCTCCCATCCCATGTCCGATAAGGCGCTCAATAGCCAGCAGGATATTATTGGGGGCTACGTGGACCAGCTCATACACGAGCTGCGCCGTCGTTGTGACGAGCCGGGCGTTGTCGACATGGTCCGCTGGTTCAATTTCACTTCATTTGATATTCTCGGCGACCTGGCGTTTGGCGAGTCATTCGGCTGTCTGGGCAGCGGGGTCATGCATCCGTGGATAGAGTTGATATTTACCTCGATCAAGTCCGTCATGGACATGCAGATCATCAGACGCGTTCCTGGGCTTTTCACCCTCATCCTCACCGTGGCGGGACTACGGCAGAACCAGGACTTACAGGACCAATTCATGTTCTGTCAAAAGAAAGCGCGCGAGCGATGTTCAAAGGAAACCTCTCGTCCCGACTTTAGTTTGTCAACGCATCAGCTTTGAGCAAAACCTGGAGGCTAATTATGGACTAGTGACTTACATTCTCCGTGCCACAGAGGAAAAAGGCATGACGCAGGAGGAGATTGAGGCCAACGCACAGATTCTTATTATGGCAGGCAGTGAGACCACCGCGTCTGCTCTGTCGGGTACGCTCATGATAATTGCCCGCGAGTAAATAGCACAAGCTGATACAGATATTTAGGGACGCTGTATTGTCTCCTTAAAAACCCCAGTGCGTTGCAGAAGCTGAGAGCCGAGATCCATGCCGCATTCCAACATGAATCGGACATCACCATGCGTGCCCTACAGGGTCTGGAGTACCTGAACGCCGTGCTACAGGAGTCGATGCGTGTGTACCCCCCCGTTCCCTGTACATTTCCGCGTACAACACCCCGCGGTGGCGCCATGGTCTGCAATCGCTTCGTCCCTGCGGGTTATATCGTCGGCGTCAATCAATTGGCAGCCCTGACATCGGCGCAAAATTTTGCACGTCCACTTCAGTTTGCGCCGGAGCGGTGGCTGGGCGATGAGCAGTACCAGCACGATATACGCAAGGCGTACCAGCCGTTCTCCTACGGTCCCCGGAACTGTCTCGGGAAGAAGTCAGTTTTCCTTTCCTTCTGTCTCGGGATTTGATGCCTAGATGAACGGGATGCTAATGTGTGCGTGCGTAGCCTGGCGTATGCCGAGATGCGCCTAGTTCTGACACGGCTTTTGTGGAACTTTGACTTGGAACTGATGCCAGAGTCAGAAGACTGGCATTCTCAGCAGAAGATATGGATGATGTGGGATAAGGGCCCACTGAACGTGCGTATCCGGCGGTTGCGGCCATAAGATGATGTGATTGCTAGGTTAGAATGCGCTAGGAATGTAGTCTCTATATGCCGGCCTCCGCGATTGCAAAGGAAAAATAAAGTTCATCCATCATTACGTATAGCTGGCCAATTTCTTACACCGCAGACGATAGCTTCCTCACCCGCTCATCCAGCTGTGTACAGGGATTTGGTTCGAGGGCGATGGCCTCGCGCAGGTTCTCCAGCACCCGCTGACACCTCTGCAGCTCGCGCTGCAGTAAATACGATCGAAGCGCCCGCTGCTCGTCCTGGCTGATCTGGAACAGCCCGAATCGGAGATGCGGCAGCATATTGCCGCCGTCAGCCCCGGCCCCCGGCATCACCTCCTCGAGCTCTCGGGCCCCGATCTCGCCACTGCCGCGGTCGGCAGCAGAGCCCTGCCGCACACTGCGCTCGAAAAGAGTCACGATCTGTTCGACGGCAATGAGCAGCAGCATCGCGCAATTGAGACGCTCCTTGTGCGCCCCTTGGCCCAACATTCGCGAGATCTCGCCTAGCGTCATCTTGTTTGTGTGCATGACGACGTCCAGCGCGACGACTCCGCGCTGGATGCGGTGCTCCAGGAATTCCACGATCCGGGTGCACGTCAGGATTGTTCGACTCTGGTAACCATGACCACCGCCGCAGTCGCTCTCGCACGCCAACTGGGCGACCGGCTCGGCATAGGAGGTTGATGCCGGAAAGCCTATGCCGGAGTGATGCATGTAAGAGGGCGAGCCTTCTGCGCGACGTCTGGTGGAACAATTATCGAGAGAGCTCAGCGAAAGATCCATCTGGTGCACGTCGTGGGTATGAAGGTCGAGGTCTGGTAGAGCGGAAATCGAGCCTGGCGGAGTCGTTTTGTGCAAAGAGTCTAAGGCCGACTGCCTTTGACTACCATGGTTGAGATGAAGAGATTGATGCGGTTCATGGTCAGAGGCCAGCAGTTGGCTGGGGAGAATGAACAGGTCCGACTCAAAGCCATTAGCAGGCTTATCAGTGCTGACATCACACCAATCAGCATACAGCCTCGTCGACGGGGGAGAGAGAAGTTCGGGGCCAGCCTCCGGGATTCGATCCGATCTCAAATGATTCGGAGTCTCAACTTCAGGCCCCCGAGTTTCTCGCATGTCCTGACGCCCGGTTTCCTCTGGCCTCCGGGAGTTCGGGAGGCGATGATGAGTATCACTAGGGCTCTCCGAACGCAGCCTTGAATCGTGGATGGTCTGGGTAGACGCCCTGTTCCCGCGCGCGCGGACTCCTGGGACCTTTCCAACCCGTGAGATTGCATAGATATACTCGCTCTGCAGATTGCTGCATCGGCTACACCCACTCCGTTCACCAGTACACCGCACCTGTGTCCTCATCTCATCAGTAACGAGCAGCATCGCACTCGGCGTGCGATTTCCTACCTTGGCTGCATGGCACTGATTACAGGCGGACCGCCATCGAACAGGCTTGCTGGAGGAACCAGGTCTGTGATAGAATGGTCAGCGGGGTCCCAGGATTATAAGCAAGGGATCTGATTTGGAGGACGAAACTGTTCAGTCATGGCGATTGAAGACATGGCAATGGCGGAACCCAGTTTGAAAGCACGCAATACTGTCGGCCTGTGCTTGTAGCACCCTTTGCATCTCTTATAGGCCCTTTTGAGGACTACCCATTGGAGGGGTCCCGTCCCGCTTCAAATGCTCTGCAAGTCATCAGTCAGACTGCAGCATTCCTGCAGGCGTCTCGACGTCGTCTTGAGAGGAACCCGAATGCCAGGAGATCGACTATGTCGAGTGCTTAAGGACAATTAAATGACCAGAGACCGTGGGGAGATTGTAGGAGCTAAAATCTTACAAACATGTTGACTCCGGTTGACCCCGGTGGTTTTGTTACTACATTATCTATTCTCACGCCACACCGGGATCACATGTAGTTGGTGTATTGGTTTCTGGTCAATATCATGCTCCTAGTTGCCTTAATTCGAAGGCAGCAGCAGACAGCCATACCCCTGGCGGATGACCGGGGCTGGTGCTCTACTGTGTACACAGTATGCATCCCTCCGCCGCCGGCTCCGCCACCTGCTGCGAGAAGAGTGGCACCAATTCTGGACTAATCACGACCACGGATCTTCGCTACGGAAGGTCTTTGCAGCCCCGAGCCGGGCCGTGCTTTTGCTCCATGTGGGGCTTCAGCGCGCAGCCAGCTCAGTGGTCATTCCGATGCAGACCAGTAAGATTGCCCTTGGGGGCTACCTCAGCCGGTTTGGCGCGATGCCCACCACAGAATGTCCCTGCGGCCTAGGCCGACAAGACGTTCAGCACGTGCTAACGAGCTGCCCCCAGCACGCGGCGCTATGGCTCCGCACGGTGTGGCAGCACTCACAAGAAACCAACTATGCCCGCCTGCTCACCGAGCCTAGCCTGGTACGACGCGCTGCTCAATTCGTGATCGACTCACGACTCCTGGGCCAGTTCCAGCTGTACTAACAAAACCACGGCGTCAACCGGAGTAGACCCAACCCCAATGAAACCTTAAGGTAGTGCTGCGGAAGTGTCGTCGAACGGCAGGCGTAGACCAAGATCTGTAGCCTACGGGTATACATCACTAATCCAGTGCATTCGTCTTGCTTTTCTAGTGAATATCTCGTCTTTCAGAAATAAATGGCTTGTTCTAAAGAGGCTTCCCGGTTGGCCTGATATTCTGGACCAAAGCTGAAATGACGGTGGTTTCAGGCTTTCAGCTGCTGCACAGTAGCGGGGTGTTGATATAATTTAGCTGATTTGGATGATTCGGGATCGCTATCTCGCTCGCTATACCTACCGTATCTTAGCATCTGTACAAAGTACATAGATCGCTTAGATAGTCACTCGTGTAGAAAGAATTAGATCTTCTTTGATTTCTGGATTGCATAGAAATTACTAGTGATTTCAGAAACTAGTACCAATACAGAGACTTCAACACGGGCCAATCCAACTGTTTGACCTCGCAATTCCTTATCGAGGACGTTGCTGTCTTGGTTTTAAGTCGCCAATTCGTCATGATCACGCTACGCTGTATACCAAATTTTGGCCCTAAGCATCTGGGACTAATGAATCGAGGCCATCGCCTCGGCCCCATATGTCCGCCCATAACACATCGTGAACCCACCACATGCAGTACATGGCAAATCGGACCAATGCCCGCACCCCATCTGGAACATGCCCATTTTCACCAGGTCCAGTGCGCGCCGTAGCATGTGTGAGAATGCTGAGGAGACTGAGAAGGGGTGTCCAGAAGGCGAGAAACAGTGCTGCCCCAATGCGGGCCCATGGGTCTAACTTGGGCTGATAGCACGGGTACTTCCGCTGTATGTACTCAATGTAGCTGCGTGGAATTTCGGCGGCCTGGGCTCCGTCCACAATAAGGCCCTAAATACCAATCGTAGTTAGTGAGGTGACAGAATATCGTGCTGGATTAGTAGTGAAAAAGGAAAAAAAAAAAAAAAGAAACCAAAAAAACAAAAGAAAAAATCAGATGGCGGAGCCTCGTTAAAGTCAGAAGTGTGAGGAGGACGACGACGACGACGACGATGATCACTGACCATATAGCGCGCACTAGGCCGTGCTTCTGGGCACCGCTCCAAGGTGCTGACCAGCGTCCAGACCCGGATTGTCGCGCCCCAACGCTGTCGATCAGCCTCCTGGATCGGCTGGGCGGAGAGCAGAGCCTCTTCGTAGGCGATGCCCCCCCCTTCTGAGGCGATGATCTGTATCCATTGTGCCCATGTTATAAGATAAGCTGTCCCGTAGAGCGCCATCTCGCGGTCCTTCTCCTTTTCTGGTTTTTCGGTTGACGACTCCCCTGGGGGCACTTCCCCAATGGAGGCAAAAGCAGGCTCGCGGTAGGGAAAACCGGCGCTGGACATAGTCAAGCGCCATCCGGGAACTCCCACAGCCACAGCCGCCTGCGGTGACATCTGTCGATCCTCACGAAAGGTTTTACTGGCCAGATTCGACCCGTACGCCAAATACCACACCAACCGATCCTGGTCTGGCGTCGACCGGGGTAGCAGCGGCGATGCACACGCCATGCTGAAAAGAGAAAATGGAGACGCAGTGTCCACTGGTTTTGTTCTGGTAGGGTAAGAAAAAGTGCTTGCCTATGGGACCGCAAAATTCTGTTCTGCAATCTGGAGAGGTACAAGAAGATAGAGGTTGTGACCTGCGCTTAATCCCTTTTTTTTTGCCCCCTGGGCAAAATGGCATCCGAAGTGCTCGGGGACCGATCAAAAGCTGAGGATCAGTACGCATAAGCTATTTCTAAGGCATCATTCCGTGTTATTGGGAGATTTCCAATCGGTCCGCTTGATGGTAGTCCGTCCTTTGTGATTTCGTTAGGATGTTTGTTATTCATAGGCTAAGCAGGGGTCAGGTAATCAGGTGTAAAAGGATGTATTACTTTCTAACCAATGCTCTCTCACTACATCATATATATAATTCTCACCTGGCCCATCAGACAAAGGCTTTTTCTTACTAAGATGCACCTACAGTACTTATGGGATAGTGGCTAGCCCACTGTACTAACGAAATCCCCGGGGCCAACTGGAGTCTCTTCGGCCACCGGGTGAGGGGGATGATACCCTTTTCCCTGCAAGCCTTGCAGGGGAAAAGACAGACAGCCAGATAAGATGGCAAAAATGACCTAGATGGCCGTCATCCCGTGCTGACGCGGCTTTCGTCTTTTCTTGTCCTTTCAGGCCCTCGGGAATCTATGTCTGTTTGTCATGGCCACAATATAGTCGGCCGAGAATGGCCAGCAAGTGCACCATTCTACTGCCATTCGTGGAGCTCGATTCTGGGCGGTTCTCGTCTCGCTCTGCTTTGCCTCGTTCGTCGCATCTTTAGACATTACGGCCATCACTACGGCCCTGCCCACAGTCACTCGGGAGCTAGACGGAGAGGAGAACTATGTCTGGATCGCCAATGCATACACGTTGGCTTCGGCAGCCATCCAGCCATTGGTTGGACAGATCTCTAATATTGTCGGTCGCCGGTATCCCATGATCGTTTCGATGTGTTTGTTTGCCTTGGGGAGTGGTCTGTGTGGCGGTTCGACCTCCGCAGCGATGATGATTGCCGGGCGCGCAGTACAGGGGCTTGGAGCCGGTGGCATTCTCCTGCTGCTCGAGGTGATCGTTAGCGACCTGGTGCCGGTGCGAGAACGCGCCCAGTTTGTTGGGATTGCACTCTCTACGTGCGCGCTAGGAACCTCGCTGGGCCCATTGGTTGGGGGCGCCCTAGTACAGCATGCCAGTTGGCGGTGGGTGTTCTACATCAACCTCCCCTTTGCTGGGCTGGCCCTGGTCGCGCTGGTCCTGTTCTTGAACGTCAAGCATCAACAAGAGGCCTCCTGGCGTCGCGCTGTAGCCCGCGTCGACTGGGTAGGCAACGCCATCTTCATCGCGGCCAGCTGTGCCATAATGTACGCCCTAGTGATTGCGGGATCCATTTACTCTTGGTCCTCGTCCCATGTGCTATTACCTCTGATCCTGGGGTCACTTGGCTTGGTGCTTTTCCTTGCCTTTGAGACTTCGCCCTACTGCTTAGAACCCACTATGCCCCCCCGGCTGTTCTGCACGCGCACCTCCATGACGGCGTACATTCTGGCCTTCTTGGCCGCCATGCTGCTGCAGTGGGTTGTTTATTTCCTGGCCTTGTTCTTTCAGTCTGTTCAAGGTCAATCGACCACCATGTCCGGGGTGGATGTGATCCCCTTAACAGGATGCCTGATCCCGTCGGCCATCCTGGGCGGTGTAATCATGGGAAAGACCGGCGTCTATCGCCCTCTGCACCTGGCAGGGTTTGCGCTCCTGTCTCTCTCTCTGGGCCTCTTCAGCACTTGGAATGCCACTACACCCCGCGCTGAGTGGGTTGTTCTCCAGTGTTTGGCTGGTGTGGGGCATGGTCTGCTGCTGACCAGTCTTCTCCCTGCCATCCAGGGAGCTCTTCCGGAGACTGACAATGCGGTTGCAACAGCGGCGTATGCTTTTCTCCGTAGCTTTGGATTTGTCTGGGGCGTGGCAGTACCGGCGGCGGTCTTCAACGACCAAGTTGACCGTTTTGTCTCGCGCGTGTCGGACCTGACCGTCCGTAATCAGCTTGCGCACGGGGGCGCTTACGCCCTGGCTGGAACTTCTTTCGTTTCTAAGCTGGGAGCTGACGCTTCTACTGTTCTCGGGGTCTACACAGATAGCTTGCGGACGGTGTGGCTTGTTGGAATGGCGCTTGCCTTGCTCGGCTTTGTGTTGGTAGGGTTGGAAAGACATATTGAGTTGCGGCCCACGCTGGAAACTGACTTTGGACTTGAAGAGGTTGCGGCCAAGGCTGAGGATGGTGTTATTCAGACACGCGAGCCAAACGGGAATATGAATTAACAGTAGTGGATTAATGAATTTCTCGTTGTGATTCTCACTCGCCTAGAAAGGTATATTTAGGACAGTCACTTCATACCGGCCTGACTTCCTTCTACTTCGAGGACCACGCCATTGTTCGATGTAGCTATTACTCAGAGCAGGAAATTTTGACTTATGGATAATTATTCAGATCGTCACTACTGTAGGTTATTGATCTGAGTGTTCAACATTTCTGCTAGTCTAAAGGTCGTATGAGGCTTCCAACAATCACCATCCTGTCACGAATCATCAAAACTTGGGAATTGACTATGACATGGACTTAATCCCAATAAGGGCTATCACCAGTAGCAAAATTGATTATCAACAAAAGTTTTGATGCGGTATAGGTTGCGAAGGAGATTCCGAGGTGACAAAGCAAGTGTTGAAATGCACGATTTAGGGCCAGAAATAAGGGCAAATATTTCAAACTATCAGGGGAACTCCACCAAATCCCGGTTCTCCTCGGCATCTTTGTCCTCCTTTTCTTTTGCTTTGGTCTGTTTCTCCCACATCTGGCCATACAGGCCACCCGCCGCCAACAATTGCGCGTGAGTACCTTTTTCAACGATATGTCCCTGGTGCAGGACAATGATCTGGTCCGCTTTGGTGATTGTGGACAGACGATGGCTGGCATTCATTAGAACTGATGAGCCGGGAGAGATAATGAAACACTCAACGAAGGGATGGCACTCACGCAATTGTGATGGTGGTTCGCCCCTTGGCAACATTCTCCAGGCTGGCCTGAATCTGCCGTTCAGTCTGGGAATCTAGCGATGCAGTGGCCTCATCAAGCAACAGAATTTGAGGAGAGCGAAGGAATGTTCGTGCAATCGCAATCTATGTAAGCCAAACTGGTGAGAGACGCCTCTCATTCTGACACTGAACACTTACGCGCTGTTTTTCTCCTCCTGACAGCCTAAGTCCTCGCTCGCCGACGTTCGTCTCATAGCCGTCCGGAAAGCTCATGATCCGGTCATGAATGCTAGCAGCCCGACAGGCTGCATATAACTCGTCCATGGTGGCGCTTGGGCGTGCATACCGCAGGTTGTACAAAAGCGTGTCATTGAAGAGGATTGTATCTTGCGGGACGACGCCGAGATGGCCACGGAGACTGGCCGCCGTCATGTCGCGGACGTCGACCCCATCAACGCGCACAGAGCCGCCAGCGACATCATAGAACCGAAAGAGCAGCTTTAGGATGGTTGACTTGCCGCTGCCACTCTCGCCGACAATTGCGGTGGAGGTGCCGGGCTCAACGACAAAGCTGACCTTGCGTAGGGCGGGGCGGCGCTCATCATAGGCGAAGTCGACTTCGTTGAACTCGACACGGCCGCGGCAATAATCAAGATTGATGGCATCGTCTCGGTCCTTAATGAGCGACTTTGTCTCGAACTGTGGGTGGTAAGTAATTGACAAGGTCATCTGGGTTAATGAAGAGCCTGAAAAAAAAAAAAAAAAAAAAAAAAAAAAACATACCAATGCCAACATGCGTTCAGCATCCACGAGATTGTTCTGAACTTGGGTGTAAAAGCTCCCGAAGAAGTTCAATGGAGCCTGAAGCTGAGAGAGATACGCGAGCAAGGTGACAAACATGGCCACCTTTTGCATGTCTGCAGAAATCTGGTACGCGCACAAGAGACAGACAATGGCGACCCCGGCCGTAAATAACAGGTTTTGCATGGCGTTGAGGAGGTTAAGAGAGAAGAAAACAAAGTACTCAGCTTGCTGGAAGGACTGCACGAGCCTGCTAAAGCGGCCGAGCTCGTGAGGAACTGCTGAATTGTGGTGGACTGTCTCATAAGAGAGAAGGGCGTCCGTTCTGCATCGCGATATCAGTAATCAGCTCGCCATCATAGCTCGGTGCAGCTTACTTGGCAGCCTCCATCTCGCGCTCCCGATTCACCATCTCGCGCCGGGCTCGGCCACGGTACTTGGCCATGTAGATGGTCACAAATAGGTACATCCAAGTGACAGCAATGACGATAAGGGAGTAAAAGGCGTCAAATTTGACCAGAAAGTATACCGCAGCAATCCACAAATCAGCCACCATGGGAAATAGCTGGAAAACTAAACCGTCCAGAAATGTGTTAAGCGCGCTGCCTTTGCTAAGCGCGCTCATGACCTCCCCGATACGTTTGCCCAGATGGAAATCTAGAGACAAGGAAAGAACATGTTCAAAGGCAGAAGAAGTAAGTCGGCGGTAGGTTGACTGGCTGACAGGGATCCAAAGAAGAGCTCGAATGGACCCAATGACTCCCTGCTGGCCCTGCAGTGCCCGCAGGCAGATATACACTGCAACCTGCCGTAAAGGGATGGTTTTCGAGCCAAGGGCTGCGACGACAAGACCTAACTGATGTGGAACAAGGATATTGACTGCTCGTTGAATCAGCAGCAGAAAGAAACAGAAGATCGCCCGTAATTGTAGCTGGCGAGAGTCAGAAGGCCTGTTGGAATCTTAGCTTCCCTGTGTTGGGGAAAAGAGATAAGCATTGGATGAGAGACGGACCACAGAAAGGGGAAAAGTGTGCTGAATCCAGTCACGTAGTCCAGCCAGCCCCCATGCTGCGCATCCCGTGTCTCGAGACTCGTCTGCCTCAGAAGAGGCTCAGTCTCGTCCAACTTGACGCGTGACCAAGCATACATAGGCTGGAGATAGAGCGCCGCCATGGCTATCTGGAAACAGACACGCAGCGTGACCAGGCCGACCTGGACCCGCTCAAAGCTAGTGGTGCCTGTTTGGTGGCTTGCTTCGACGCAGAACATGACCAACTGCAGCACTTCAACCGTCAAGGTTGCCAGCCAAGCGTGGCAATGGGACAACGATGGCGCAAAAGGCTCATCGGGGTCGGGGAGCAGCCCAGCTGCGAGAAACATCCACACAGCAATGGTTGATGCCTATACTGTCAGACGTAATTCATTAAGAGGCAACCGGAAGGGTCATACTAAATACTCTTTGGTAGTCCACCATGCTTCTGACGGGACGCTTCTACTGATCAGATAACCAGTGGCAGCGATAGACATCCCCTACAAACATTGTTATCAGTCTTCGCCATAATTTGAAACATATATTGATTCAGGATTGCACTGACTAAATCGACACATAGCACAGATTGAAGCCAGAAAATGGCTGTAAACGCTACTCGGCGTTGCTTCTCGTACCACACGTCTGTGGCTACATCATGATTCTTGCGTGACAAGGCAATAATGAGTCGCGATGCAATATACGAAACATATATAACTGCTGGGTACCCCCAACAGATAGCTGAAGCCAAAATGACGAGCTGCATTGTGTCTGGTCCTGAAGTGGGAAGTGAGTAAAGCTGGAAAGACTGGCGGAGTTGGATGATTTTGATACAGGGCTTCCTCCTAAGAACATTGGTGTTTCGGGGTCCGAGACAGTCACCGATATCAAAAGGGCGCACAATGAATGATATATGACTACTGTACATCTTTGCAAAACCCTACAGGTTCGGCTTGAAACATAACCAAAAAAATACAGAGACAATAATGGCTGCTGCTGGTCTATCCAAGCGTGGTGCTGCCAATGTCGATGCAATTCTACCTAGCATAAGCGCGGCCTTGCTTGAGAGGACCAAGCCCACAGCCCCTCGAATTGATCTTTCTACGGCAGAGAACTGGCTTATGCGCAATGAAGTCATTGAAATGACGAAAGATGCTATTGTACAGGGATTGAAACCTCATGTCTGTTGCCAGATGCCCTCAAACCATCGCCCATCTAATACTCTTAACACAGCACCTTTCGTATCCCAATGAATTTGCCGGAGATGCAGATCTCATACGAGCCCTGGCGGCCTTCTTCAATAAATACTTCCATCCTCATATTCCTGTGGAAGAAGCACATATAGCGACGGCACCAGGAGCAGCCACCTGCCTGAACACTGTTCTGTACAATATGTGTGAACCAGGCGAGGGAATCCTTGTTCCTGCCCCCTTTTGGAGTGAGTGCCTTGTTATCAGTTCGAAGGATGATTTCAAGCTCGATAAGCATGCTGATTGATGTAGATGGATTCGACTGGCTTTTTACTGCGCGGTCGTCTGCCGTGCCCATAATCGTCCATGTGGAACGGGCAGCCGACACTCTTACCCCCCAGCTACTCCCGGCTTTGGAGAAAGCGTATAAGGAGTCATCAATCCCAGTCCGTGGTCTTCTTCTCACAAATCCGCATAATCCTTTCGGCCAGTGCTATCCCCGGTCTGTCATCGACGACTGCATCCGCTTCTGTAATGACAAGGGCATTCACTATATCTCGGACGAGGTATATGCACTTTCCACCTTTGAAAATCCCGAGCTGCCTGATGCGCCGCCCTTTGTGTCCGCGTTAGAGATTGACGTGACTGGCATGGGCTGTGATCTTTCTCGAGTCCACACCTTCTAGAGCACAAGCAAGGATTTCGGCTCCAGTGGCTTTCGCGTGGTATGTCCTAGTTCCTATCACTCCGTTTCTCTACTACTCTTTCTTCTGCGCTAACTTTGACCCTTTTCCGCCCAGGGATGTAGCATCACGCAAGCAAATGAAGCCATGCATGTAGCTTTGGCGCTGGCCTCCAATACAGAAACTTCCAGTCTCAGCGCGGTCGCTTCAACAGCGCTGCTTACGTCGACTCGACTCCCAGAGCTCTTGCAAGTCAACAGGGAGCGTCTGTGGGAAGCATACACAGTGATGACAGACTTTTTGAAGAAGCATCAAATTCTATACATACCAGTCAACTCTGCCCCCTTTCTGTTTGCTCGGCTCGCTCCTTACGCCGAGTCGTGGGAGCAAGAGAAGGCTACGATCGACCGACTGAAGCAGGCCGGGGTAGTGGTGAGTGGCGGCAAAGCGTACCATGTGAATGAGGATGAAAAAGGGTGGGCGCGTTTGACATTCGCTCTCGAGCGAACCCGGTTGGAGGAGGCCATCAAGCGCATGCAGACTGTCCTGGGGGAGAAGTCAGTGGATTGATTGACGGGGACTTAGTCTCGGTCGCCGACGTCGGCAATTGCAGATAGAAGCAAATTTTGTGGGACTATTTCCAATCGTAGAGCTTCTTAGGGATATAAATCAATATATCAGAGTAGCATAATTACATTGTCCAACCAACCGAAGTTGGATTTTGAAATTGCTCTTTTACCTGGCCTGGAATGCCAAACATGGAGCCTGCATCTCCTAGTAACAAAGACCTTCATCCAGCGAATGGGTCCATCCTCCCCCATCTCCTTCTGATAGCAGCTCAGATTCTGATCCTCGGCGGCCCTCGGCGTCTACCCGGTCGAAGGTTTATCACCGTCTCGTCCATCCTCACTCTAGCAGTGATTTCCCAATGCAATCGTTTTACCAACGACCCAGCTCTTGCGAATATTTTCGCTCTCGCTTGGCCGCATTGGCTGTCTGCCTTGGAAAAGGTCGTCTTTGCCTCTCCCGAAGGCCCAGAGGCAGACCTGTGGCGCATTGACAAGCCCAAAGAACCACTAGCTTGGTCGGCGCTGAGTTGGCACAAGATCAAATGGGCCGCAGCTCTACTGCTCAATCTTAGGGGCATTAGATGGAGTTTCCAGGTGAAGAATGTGCCTCAGGTACCGGGACTAGATCGCATGACCCGGGTTCGCTTCCTGCTTTGGCGCCTATCGGAGTTGGTCGTTGTTGTCTTGATGGCCGATCTCGTTTCGCAAATGGCAGTCCGATTCTTCTATACAGATCGGGTGACTGGGGAGGCTGGTGCGCTCGATTCCAAGTACATCGATCTCCGTGACAACCGATGGGCGTGGAGCTTCGTCAAGGCCCTGACGTTTGGCTTGGGGCCTTACTTCTTTATCAATATGCAATACCTCACCGTCTCCATTCTCGCCGTTGTGACGGGCATCAGTCAGCCAGTGGTATGAATTCCCTGCGTTCTGATATGTATCAATTGCATGATATATAGACCTGACATGCTCCAGGACTGGCCACCCCTATTTGGTAAATTAAAGTATGCCACCACCGTCAGAGACTTCTGGGGAACGTTCTGGCACCAGATGCTGCGCAGTGTAGGTGCAAGATCTCTCGTCCGATTCCCAGTTTTTTGAAGTTATATTGAAAGAAGACAGTCACTCAGTAAAATCACCGGCGCCGTCGTGGACTTTCTCGGCATCCGTCGGGGCACCAACGCTTCTTCCTATACCCAGCTCTGGCTCGCCTTCACCATCTCTGGTGTCATGCATGCGGCCTCTCAGCTTCTTATGCCCCGCCCAGTCAACATCGAACCCAAGGACATTGCCATTGGGATCTTCCTATTCTTCCCTTGGCAGGCGGCCATGATCACGCTCGAGGACTTTGTGATCTGGTTATGGAAGCGGCGATTTGGCCCAGAGAATCCTACGTGGGCGCCACTTGTGGGTTATTTGTGGGTTATGTTGACGTTTTGGATTTCCTTGCCCTTTCCTGGGAATTCTATGGCGAGGTTGAAAATGGGAGAGGTCCCACCGTTGCCGTTTACAGTGTTTGGGCCGATGGTCCGCATGTTGCCGCTTCCCTAGTGTGGTTGCTCTCCATTTGTGTTGCCGAGAAGGGGAGTGAAATTCAGTTAAGAGGCGATTATAATCAATGGCAGATCAAAATAGAGGCTTGATTTTGTGGAGTTTCAGGCAGCGGGAATGTACACTGTTCAAATGATGTTTCTACTACAAGGCATCTTCTCCGTTGGGCCTTCGTACTTCTCTTTATGCCCAGTCAAGCCCTACAGCTTCGGATTAAAACTTCAGTATCTGGCGCCACCATGAGTTGTGCCTCGATCGCTAGATCCTCTGGTCGACTATTGACGGAGCGCGGAGTTGCCCACTGGAATTCATAATCCATGAGCAGCTTGCCCAGGACCAGTTTGATCTTTCGGATCGCATAGAAGCGGCCTGGACAAGCATGGTTTCCATAGCCGAATCTGTTCCGGAATGTCAACATATACTATTCATTGTGTAAAAGGGTGAGAGACATACTGCAGGAATTTTGGATCAATGGTCGAGGCAAGCCAGCGGTGACTATCTCCCTGTTTCTGCCGATAGCGCGCAAAACGGAATCCGTCAAATTTGCTGCCGTCAGTGTAGTTTTCTGGATCATGGTGGATGGCCAATGCCGGAGCGATGATATTCGCTCCCTTGGGGAGCGTGAGGCCATCGTGGAAGCGAAATTGGTCGTCCATAACAGTTCTGGCGACGGTCACTGGCACGCAAGTCAGCTGCTATTTCTAATAGCGGGCGAGGTAGTGTCTATTTCACTTACATGATCCCGCTGGGTGCAACCGCATTGTCTCCCGGATGAAGCTGTCTAGCAAAGCCATCTGCGATAGAGCCTTGTCTGTCCATCCACTATGCCGAGCAACCACGGTCTTGATTTCCTCGCGTAGTGGCCCCAGGTACTCTGGATATGCAAGCACATTGAGCAGACACTGCGTGACTCCCACTCCAGAGGCACTGCTCGCCGCAAAAGTAAGATGCAGCATCTGGTACGCCTGATGCAACGGGTCATCGTCACCAGGAAATGAAGACGGTGTCTCGAGCGTCCACTGTAGCGCGTCGGGGTACTTGGCCGCTACATCAACTCCCGAGGCCTTTTCCTGGCGCCTGCTGTGAATATGTGGCAATAACATTCTTGCGGCTGCGTCACGGTCTCTGAGATGAAGGCCGATAGTGAGTCTGGCAATGAGTTTGCGAAAGGGGCCTAGGCGGACGAAGTTCCAGAATATTCCATGCAGGAATAGCGAGCGGCTGAATCTTGTAGTAGCTGCAAGGTATGCCTCATCGCGACATAGTTCGGGGCCGACGAGGATGCGATTACCGGTGCGGTGCACTATGGCGCCGATGAGGTTGGAGACGTTGAAAGATTTCCATTCTGTTGCAGGGCCGATCTCCTTGCGAATGGCATACTCGGCTTCATCGAACAACAACGGTGTCAATTTGGCTGTAACAATCAGTTTTTCCGTATCGTTATTCTTCGATCATCTTCCTTCAATGGACTAACGTACTCAACCGCGGGTTTAAATGCTTGACTACCACATCAATTTCCGTTGTGCTAGCATATAGATGGCCAACTGAGGCCTCCATATTCAGTCCCTTTATGGCCTGTTAGCTAGCCAGTAAGCGAAGCACGCGTGCGCATACATACATCACTGAGGGCCTGGAAGAAGCTCAGACTCTTTGGGCTTGCCCGTTTGATATCGTCCAGGTATTTGGATGGAAGTACCACATAATCGTGGCCGAACACCTTGGTGATGAATGGCTTCCCCAGAGCTTTGTTGACCTGTTCCTGGTCAGCATTATATCATGGGGTCACTGATTAAACACACTTTCTCATATCCAATTTGTGCATATCGAGGTAGGTCAAAGCGAGCTGGCTTTTTCCATGTTACAAGCGTCCATAGACGAGAAGGCCCGATTCTAGGAAACCCATAGGGTGTACTCGCAGTGCTGCCTATTAGAAGTAAAATCGATAGTGACAATCCCAAAAGGACACTTGTCCACTCAACAGTGGTGAGAAACATGATGATGGTGATTTATTAAATCACTTGCAGAGAATATTGTAGAGAATCGTAGATATTTTAGTGGTTCTATAAATGGGACTATCTTCGGGCACCGATGAACGCACTGCACTCATCACCATCCGCCATGGCATGCTACTGCTCATCCGCAGCACTGACTGATTTCGACCATTTCTCTGCATTTACCTGCATCTGCACCCCGCCTGCTGCAAAAGCTCCCATGGAAATGGCTTGTGTGCCGATCTTGAACGGAGATCCCGCATCACCTGCCACAAACGCTCCTGCCACCGACGTCTCGTTGAAGGGAAACTGGGGCTTAATGTGACCTTCGGGCGTCATTTCGACATCTAGCTGCTGTGCAAAAGATCCCCGAATTCGTGTTCGGGGACGGTGAACCAGGAAGCCTGCTACTTCGGAATTACCGTTGTCGAAGTGAATATCCAACTGTGCTTGTTGCGGTTGCTGGACAAACTTCACGATGCACCGGGCGTCGGCCTTGAAGCCACAAGGTCCGAGTTGTGATTCTACCTCGTTGGCTAGCTCGGTGTTGCCGTTTGTATAGACAGTGACCGTGGAGGACAGATTGCGAGCCTGAAAAGCCAGATGCCGCGCCGCATGGAAGTTGGCGTCGCCGTCAATGGCAAGGACGCCCGCCGAGGCACAACCTCGCTGTTCATAGCCGCGATGAACGAGGCAGTGAAAACTAGCCATGTCTTTAGTTCGTAGAAACAAATCTCATAGATAGGGCTCTACTCACATTCCATGGGACCAGCACTCTTTGAAACCAGGGATGTCGGGGAGGATATCCTCAACCCCCATCGCCAGAATCACCTTTCTCCCAAGCCAGCGGCGGTTATGCTCGTCAAGGACACAGAACCGTCCCGCATTTTCTCCGTCGGCTATCTGAATTATTTTCTCCAGCTTCACATCGGCGAACTCGACCGTGCTGTACTTGGTGAGGATGTTGAGCTTTGCTTCCTCGCGAAATGTCTTTGGTTCATGACTGTCCCAAGTAGGTATGGTAGCTAGATGCGGCGAGTCATCATTGCGATGGAGTCCTTCGTCAAAGACCACTGCGGAATGAAGTGTGCGTACCAGGCTCAGGGCTGCCGAGAGGCCTGCAATGCCCCCTCCAATGATAAGGCAGTCGTAGAGGGGCACTTGTTCGGATGCCATGTCGACTATATTGGTTGATAGCAGCTCAGCCAGGACCGTAGAAAATATGGCTTCTGTACTGATCAATTGCCAGGAGCTGATATAAGCTGATATAGAAGCCAGTCAACGACGAAGAACCAAGGAATTCGGCCACCGATCGGCGTCCAATGTTGGCAAATCGCATCATACATTCCTGCAGGACAGGATGTAGTAAAGGATGCCTTTCAACACATTCTAAACAGCGAGAAAATTTCTACAGGGCTTTCAGCACTGACGCTTTATATGAATAGCTATCCTAGAATGGCCACCTTAACCCAATATTCCGCCCAGATGGGCTTCATCGCGGCGAGAGCGCCATCAGACAAGCCTCCTTTTTACCGGTCTGCAGCCGACGAGGGCTTCGAGGTCAGCAATTTCAGCCAGGAGCAGCACAGCGTCAGCGTCTCTGATGCAAGACCTGTTTTGGATTCTTTCAACCTCGATACGCACGGATTTGCCTTTGCGGTGGACCCTGAGGGCACCCGTCCCGAGATCCTGGAGGCGATCCGCGCGAGCGACAAGGAGACAGTGCGACGACTATACTATCCTATCGTCGAGGAGTTGGTCAAGCGCCAGACTCGGGCATCGCAAGTGGTCATCTTTGATCATACGGTGCGACGCCGGGAGGTAGAATTGGCTGGGAAGAATCCAAATGGCCGCGAACAACCTGCGAGTACAGTGCGTAAATTTCTTGTCTCCCTTAAAGTCAATAGTACCACAGAGCTTACGGGTTTTAGGTTCATTGTGACCAGTATGTCTGTTGCAGTTCCACACGGGGCAGTGTGCTGACAATGATCGATAAAGATCCCCATTGGGTGCGCAAAGACGTATCTACCAGCATCTACCTGACGAGGCAGATCAGTTACTGAAGGGCCGGGCCCAGATCATCAAGTGCACATAGCCACCCCACTTGGACCATCTTGCAGACTCCTGACATTTATGCAGTGTGTGGCGTCCATTGAAGGGCCCCGTCCAGGATTGGCCCCTCGCTATGATGGATTGCACGACCTTGGCCAAGGCGAGCATCCACCCGACTCAGTTATACCGCAACCGATTTGAGCTCAGGGGGGAGACAGTCAGCATCAGCCATCATAAAGATCAGCGTTGGTACTATCTGGACGGGCAGAAGACAGATGAGATAACTTTTATCAAGATCTGGGACAGCAAGGAGGGAATTTCAGGACACAGTAAGAGGATTCGTCCTGAGGTCACCAGGGTCAGGCTAATGCGAGGGTAGTGTGTGCCCATTGCGCGTTCCAGCACCCAAACACCCCCGAGAATGCGCCTCTACGCGAGAGTGTCGAGGTTCGATGCTTGGTTTTCTACGAGGATGAGGCATAGCTATGATTGAAAAACATGACAATGCCGCCACCAGATAGATTGATGGGGATTGCTCGAGGCTCGTAGCTCGAGACTAAGTTTCAGCGTAGTGTTCCTCAATAAGTCAATCTTGCTCTGTTCGACCTAGAAAATGCATATGAATGAACAGACTGGCCTACAGAGATAAAATCGGATCCCCAGGATGTATGATTCTTTCATCGTCCAAATTGTACAATCGACTGCTCTAACAACTAAGGCGAATTCCTGGGATCATGAGCTATCCTGCCGTTGTTCTAGCAGCAGATACAGGAATCGATATCATCGAAGCGCATTTCATCTCTCGTTCTGATCCATTTGATTCTTTTTACACTGATCTGTCTTATTGTAGATTGACTGTATCATACCGCGAATGCGCGTCAGTCTAAAAGCAACAGATCTACGCCTTCTCATCAAAAGCCAACTGAGACACCACTCCTACCGCCGCCAACGATCCATGACTCATGGACATACTGGCCGCCTTGATCGCCATCCCGCAGTCGCCTGTTGCGAAGCAGCCGCGGGTGGTCGTTTCCCCAAAGGGCGCGCTGGTCTCGAACTCGCTTCCCTGAGGCGAGAGCTCAAGTTCCAGGTTATTCTTAAAGTCAAGGACAGGGGTGGTCTTCATTGCGTGAATGAGAAATCCCTCCATTTTCTCTGTTCCGTCTTGCAATTCCACCCTGACCGGAACCCCGTCCGTCTTGTGCAGTTGTTTGATGGGCCGTGTGTCAAGATGCAACCACTGGTCTTTCTCAATGGCTGGCTGCAGCTGCTCGGCTAGCGCTTCATCGCCGTTAGTGTAGATTGTCACGCTTTCGGCCAGATTGTGGGCGAGTCGAGCGAGATGCTCGGCGGGTTTGGGGTTGGCGGTGGGTCCGATCGCGAGGACGCCCACTGAAGGACTCCCTTTTTCCTCGAATCCATGACAGAATAGGCAGTGGTAACTGCAAGGAATTACGTTAGTTGCATTGCCTTTGGCTGTCCTCCTCCGGAAGAAACACGAAGGGAAAGCCTCTAGGCGGGAAACTCACATGGATTTTGGCCAGCAGTCCGCATAACCCTGCACAGCGGGAATCTCATCCTTAACGCCAGTGGCTAGGACCAGCTTTTTGCCCCTCCAAGTCTTCCCTCCTACATCGGTCGCCTCGAATTCGCCCGAGTCCAACTTGTACACTTTTTGTAGCGCGACATCGGCCAGTGTCACCGTATTATAGCGGCCTTCGGTCAGCTCACGCCGGGCTGCCGCTCGGTAGTCTTGCGGTTTGGCATGGTCCCAGGTGGACACATTATGCATGTGTTCAATCAGAGAATTGCGATAGCTCCTGGAGTCGAAAACTACAGCAGTACGGACCGCACGGCAGAGACCCAGAGCGGCGGCTAATCCAGCGGGACCACCCCCGACTATCAAGCAATCAAAGAGCGGGGTTGTCATTGCTGATTCAGGTGAAGAGATAGTAGGTATCAAATGCAATAAATCGTGTCGTATACTATGATTACCATAGGAAAGGGAGACTTGGGATGTCCCTTTATATCTCTCGGGATCAAAGAAATTGCATTTTTGAGGCCGGTCACCGATGATGAAGGGCCCCCCGTGAGGTGAGACCGCGAGAGTCGGTGATTCACTCAGACAAAGAAAATGGGAGGGTGGGGAGAGGGGGGCACAAGCTAGGATAAGGCATAAGCCAGTGATTAATCGCTGATGGGCTTCCAGCGGGTCCAAGTGCATAAGAGACACCCCCTAAAGATCGCCAATAAGATAACCGCTGAGGCGGGATCCCGAAAAGGAAGCACTAAACTGATTTGCACATGCTAGTTGGCGGGATCTAGTAGTTACAGTGGACTCTTTCAACAAAAGGAACCTAACACATCAATTTTTACAGTTACCTGCTGGTAATACCAAATGCCACTCCATCAATAGCATGAAATCAGATGCTCATATAGTATGGATATTAAATAGTCATAGTAGCAATATTGAATCATCATATAGTCAGGATATTAAATTCCATATAGTAGGAAGATCAAATACTATATAGTATTAATATCATATACTAAGTATAAATATTAAATCCTTATATAATAAGGTAGTACCCTATATAGTTAGAAATTATATATATATATAGAAAGATGGCGGTACCATACCGATGATACCACATATTTAAATAATATATGTAAGGATTATAAAGGGTCCTTTATATATATATAGTAATGCCACCTTTCTAGAGGAGCCTTATCTAATAGAGGGCTCCCGTATAAGGAGTTAGATACGTAGTTATTTAATATATAAAGATATATCTCTATTTATAATTATTATAAT